CAGTCAAATCCCACACCTCAATCCATTTGAAATATTGTTCACAAATATTCCCTAACCAATTTTGCCAAGAAAAAATTGTCAACATCACGATTCACGGCATGCAATGATAGACATATACTCAAAAAGACATCTAGATGCTTCCAAAGGTAGGGCACAACGAGCTAAATACGTGACGAGGTAAAAGGTGCAGTGGCTTTGTTCTCTATATTATGCCAGTTATATTAAAATTCCATGTAATCATGCAACAATGAGTTGTTGATCCCAACTGTTGCAGTATTACTGTCTCTATGTAGCACGTCTCTGATCCATGATCTTCTTATACTCTCTTCTTAGACTCTGACTGTAGAAGTTTTGTGCTTTCCATGCTGCTTTTTTCAGCCGAGCAGCTCAACGTCGTAATCGGATTATTTTCCCTGGCAATCCATGCGTAGTTCACATAATCGGCCTAATGATTTCATGCAGTTTGGATTGCCTGTCGAAGACACAAAAGACAACTTTAACAAATAGGTGTCAAATAATAATAATGTAGCCTAGTCTCTGAAGTTGTCAGATAAAAAAGCAATATGTTGCTCTGCCTTTCAAATTGACCACTGGAAGTTGATGGTGGCAGTAGTGCAGTGGACACGTGATCCTCTTTGTGCTTTGTAAGTGTCAGAGAGAGACAAAATACTTGAAATATGAAAATGTGTTTAGGATAAAAATTAAATAAAAAAAAATACTATCCACGATAAGCATTATCATCTGTGCCTATGCTAACTGTGTCCTTTCTGCTAGAGGACACCTGTAATAAACATGACCATTTATTGCAGTATATTTAGCATGGATGATAAGTAGGCTAGTTAATAATAATTTTAAATGGAAATACTTTCAGTTGAGATCTTTATATTTAGAGTTGGGTATTTTTATTTTAAATACATTTCCATGTATTTATGCCCATCTCTGAGGGTTGCAATAGATTATTCGTAGAGAAAAAAAAGAAAAGAAAAAAATACCATTAGTTTCGAGTTCATTTAAGTGTGTTTTTTAAACATTTCACCAGAGGGTGCCAGAGTGCAGGAAAAGAGCAACCTTTATTTTATGGATCTTGAAGAAGGTCAGAGCATTTACTTTAAAATAAAGTCAAAGCAAAATAAATATTTTTTAGAATAATACAAAAAGAGCTATAGAAACAAAACGTAACTTGATTAAAACCATATTTGCTCTAGGAAAGAGTTAAATACAAAAGATCAAGACGCACTAGAAAATATTTATTGCTTATACAAACTACAGATTGGATTATTTACTTTAAAGTGATATTTTAAGAATATTATTTAAAAATATATTTAATAGCAAATATTCAATACATACTATTTCTAACTATTCATAACTATTCTAAGTCCAACATGATCAAACAGATTTTAGTGATACAAAAGAACAAAGGTTTAGATATAGTGTGTGAATGAAACAGAGCCTACAGAAGTGTATCAGGATCACAGCATGAGCAAGTTGTCGCAATGGAGATCTAGCAAGGGTGTAAAATGTAGTAGGGATGCTAGCAATGATTTTGATCAAACAATTAAAGTCATCATGAAATAAAAATGGACAGTGATTTATCCATGCACATCTTTTTTTTTTTTTTAATTTAATTTTAATTTTTTATTCAAGTGCCGTCATAATCTTTAATCAAAATAACTTCCCCTTCCTCTTGCAGTGACATCTCTTCTGTTCTCTGATGACATGTTGAAGGCTGGACAACCTGTCAATCACGATTGCAACGGGTAATCAGAGAGAAATGTAAATCAGAGATAGTTTTTTCTTTTTGTTTAATACCAGATGATCCATGTAGTTGAGTTATCTGGGTGATGTCATTGACTGGGCTTGTTTCTGTTAGATAGAATTTGAAAGCAATTATGGTTTATGGACACAATACTAATAATCTGCATTAGTTTTAGAGGACATAATGGCTGAAGCTCAACATTTATAACCAGACCGTGAGAGAAGAGTAAACATTTAAAGTCACCCCACCCTGCAAATAAATATTAGCTGTCCTTGTTTAGACAGTAAAAGGCACTATCACCCATGTAAGATACACAGTACATTGAGCACACTTTATGTGTTATGCCTTTGTATCATGCTAGATTTATTTTACGTTTCTCGGCTTTTCACAACACTTTCTATAAAGATTGTATGTATAATGCATTATAAAGTATATTTATATCCTGCCATAAACAATTTTAACCAAAGATATGATAGGCTACATTAAACTAATGCTATTCATGGTTGGTATAGGCTATATTTATCTACCATCATTTGATTATCTTTTTTTTTTTTTAAATGATCTTCTTTTGTGTTTAACAGAAGAAAGAAACTTATACAGGTTTGGAACAACATGATGATTTATTTTTTATTTTTGGGTGAACTATATATCCCTTTGATATTTTCCTTCTCTGTCAATGAAAATAGTTCCAAACAAAGCCAAAGCATCAAGTTTTGCATGTTGCCACTGCCCAGCAGCAAACAGAAGTCAGTCTGGAGCCACATGTTCGAGTGAAGCGTTATACTCGACTCCAGCTCCACTACAGTTTGCTCAGTTGAAAGAGAAACGCACTCTACTGGAGGCCAGAACTGTTTATAAAATACATTAAAACACAAAACTTCATGTGTTACAATACTTTTACTTATACTTTTTTAATATACTTTTTTATATTAAATAAATGTCGTTCTTTTGATGTTTCTATTCATCAAAGTCTTCTAAAAATGGATCATGATTTCCACAAAAATGTTGTTAAGTACACAAATGTTAATAAACTCTTAAACATTGATAATGATAAGAAATGTTTCTTGAGCTCTAAATCAGCATATTAGAATGATTTCTGAAGGATCATGTGACACTGAAGACTAGAGTAATGTTATGGGAATAAATTAAAATTTTAAATATAGTCAAATGTGTGTGTGTGTGTGTGTGTGTGTGTGTGTGTGTGTGTGTGTGTGTGTGTGTGTGTGTGTGTGTGTGTGTGTGTGTGTGTGTGTGTGTGTGTGTGTGTGTGTGTGTGTGTGTGTGTGTGTGCTAAATATTAACATCATATCATCCACCTGCTACTCTGATCTCTAATCAGTATCAGCACAGGCCATTAAAGGGTTAGTTCACCCAAAAATGAAAATTATGTCATTAATGACTCACCCTCATGTCGTTCCAAGCCCGTAAGACCTCCGTTCATCTTCGGAACACAGTTTAAGATATTTTAGATTTAGTCCGAGAGCTTTCTGTCCCTCCATTGAAAATGTATACACGGTATACTGTCCTTGTCCAGAAAGGAAATAAAGACATCATCAAAGTAGTCCATGTGACATCAGTGGGTTAGTTAGAATGTTTTGAAGCATCGAAAATACATTTTGGTCCAAAAATAACAAAAACTACGACTTTATTCAGCATTGTATTCTCTTCCGGTTCTGTTGTCGATCCGCGTTCACGAGTCCGCAGTGACGCTGCTGACGTAAGACGCTGCTGACGTGTATCTGGTGCGTCCGTGTATTCGGGTTCAAATAAATATGGCTGGGCACAAAAATGCAAGTCTTCCTCTGTGTCGAAATCCTTAAGCCCCGTTCACACTACAAGCGACTTTGTCGCTGCAGGTCGCCAGTGGCTGCGCTTGAGGGCGTTCCCACTACTGGTTGCCTAGTAATGTTTGTGAGTGACATTCACGGATGTTACTCTATGTTAGACAACAAATATGTTTTCTTGCCGCTACAAACAAATATTTTGGAAGGAAAAGTCTAAATATAAATGGAATCAGTACATAAAATGCATAATATTAAAGATGAACGAGAAACAATGAGTGCTTTTTGCCATCGCAGCTATTTAACTGCAGCAAACGGGCAAATACCAGTCTATCTGGGTTACCGAAACCATTCAGGCACGGAGTCAGTACGGTGAATACCACTGTATGTACACGGAGATATATCATAAATTATAGGACAGTTTCTGACTGCTAAAATGAGCTTCTCGTTCAACTTGCCTCGGTCAGACTCAGCACTGAAGAGTGATGCGCTCCACTGACTTCACTCCTATTGGTTGTCGCTCCCGAAAGTCGCTCTGATTTGCATAAAGTTAAACAGATCTCAACTTTGTCGCGTCGCCAGACACGCCCCACCGGTCGCCAACGGTCGCTGTCGCCGGAAGTCGCCCGCTCCCCATTGAAATGAATGGTATATCGTGTCGCTTTGTCGCTTGTAGTGTGAACGGGGCTTTAGACATGTTTGCGAAGATTGTTTTGTTTACAGCATGTGTCGAAGCTCGGGCGCACAGACAACACGTCAGCAGCGTCTTACGTCAGCAGCGTCTTACGTCACCAGCGTCACTGAACGCGGATTGACAACAGAACCGGAAAAGAATACAATGCTGAATAAAGTCGTAGTTTTTGTGATTTTTGGACCAAAATGTATTTTCGATGCTTCAAAACATTCTAACTAACCCACTGATGTCACATGGACTACTTTGATGATGTCTTTATTTCCTTTCTGGACAAGGACAGTACATTTTCAATGGAGGGTTTAAAAATTAAACTGTGTTCCGAAGATGAACGGAGGTCTTACGGGCTTGGGACGACATGAGGGTGAGTCATTAATGACATCATTTTCATTTTTGGGTGAACTAACCCTTTAATGAGCCATATTCAACCCCTAATATGTGTTATACAGGTTCCATTGACAATGTTAAACTCTGTCTAGAACCGTCATGACCTGTAGCAAGCTTGGTTTTAAATTTGTATGTATCCCATGAACATACAATTCATCTTTCAGAATAATATCTGCAAAGAGATTCCTTAATAGTGTCACCATATAGTGTGAAGAGAATGATTTCCTTGTAAGACTCATCATCTGAGCTGTTGCTGTACAACTATTGGCCACGAGCAACGTCACTCAAGCGACAAATCCTCCAATCCTGATGCAGTGTAGGCGGTCTCCTCTCCTCCGCCCACAATCCCTCTCTTCCTCCCGCCCACGCACACACGCCTCCTGCCCTTGACTCATACGGAGAGCAGAGGAGTGATCTGTTCGTGTTTTGAGATTGCAGTGTCTGTGTTTCTCCATGCTCGTGCTTCAGCTCAGATGGGACACGGAAGTGCAGCGGCTGTCTGGCACATGAACGCGCGCGGCTGGTCTCTCTGGCGGGACATCCCAGTTACGGGATGCTGAACGGGAGCCGTGAGGGTTTGTTTGAACTGGGCAGGCAGCTCCAGCAGGAAGGAGACTCTCAAGCTGCTCTGCACTGCTTTCTGAGCTGCCTGCTGGGACTCACACATGTGCAGAGCTTCCACTCGCTGCCCAACTGCCTGCATCAGGTGAGCCCTGCAGGACGGAGCTCTGTAATGATGCATTGTGGGATAGAACCCTTTCAAATGGGCTTTAAATGTAGGAGATGACTATTTACACGCAAAATTAGCATGCATGGGCAAATAATGCACAGTTGATTGCACATAAAGCTGTAGTTTGCATGCAAAAACTTCTCACAAGCATGCCGTGTTTTAATGATTCGATGGCACACTGACCTAAAACTAGCTTTCAGTCAATGCATATTTTAAACTGGCAAATGCATTCTGAAACATTAATGCTGCACACTGACAGCATGAGCCGGCACAGCAAAAACACTCTATCATTTGCAAAGATTGTGTGGTCAGATTTGTTTGTTTGCTAGTGCACACAGGAGACGTGTTTGACGCGTGTAGCAAGATTTGTTTATCATTGTGTTGCAAGCTATTGCAATAGCCTTGTCCATCACGTGTTTACATGAAACATCAGGGGAATTTAGCGAATAATGTCTGCAGCTAGTATACATGTTTATTTATGTGTTCACTTCCCTTCAGTAATCATGGAATCTGTTCGATGACAGTCCGTCAGATTAAAACACTCATCCCTGGTTTCTCACTCTGGGTTTCTCTCACAAGGGTCCCAAGCAATGTCCAGAAGATAAACAGTGGCTCTTACACAAGAGTACTGGAATGTGTGTTTACTGTGTTATGACATTGGCCAGACATCTGACCGTACGAAAAATACATATTTAGAATTTGCTAATATTTATCACTAACATTAACTATAATATTTCATCTGAGGTATTTTGACATGTTGAAAGTTATAATAACTAGAATGTTACATTTTGAGTGAATTTGACAATCCATTGTGTACTGTAGGTCATGTTTTAGTCTAAATTCAAAAGGAAGAAAAAAATATTTATTTTAATTTTAAGAACATTCATATTTTTTGCTTTATGTCATCATTTTCATGACATTTAAGCACTTATTTAAGCAATTTAAGCACTTAATCCAGATTACTGCCAAAAAATGCATTACTGTAATGTGAATATATATATATTTAAAGAGACACACATATATATATATATAGATCATGACAACTCTCAGAAGAGAATTGAAAATAATTGTATTGATAAGAATGGAATGTACATATTATTTGTATTGACGGACTAGATTTACTGCTGCTGGCATAAGTGAGGGCTACTTCCAAAAAATGCACATACACATAGGATACAAGCTGCTGCAAGGAAAGTAGGAAGAACCCCCTAGCAGAACTAGGCAGGTGGTGCTGGGGAAGGTGGCGGGCTAGGAAAATTCCCATTGCATACTGCAGCAGCCAATTCAGGACAGAAATAAATAGGTTACGTAGATAGAACAAAAGAATATTTGGTCCATGCAGCCGACTTTAAGAGGAAATATATATATATATATATATATATATATATATATATATATATATATATATATATATATATATATTTAATTATTATTTTTTTATTATTGCTTCTCCTAAAGCCAGCTGCATAGCCAATCAATCTTTATATACTGTATATTTATTACTGTTTTAAATATGCATTTATTTTTATATGTCTATGTTTATGATGCATTGTGGTAATAAGGGATATAGGCCATGAGACGGGACCCCAAATTTGGGCTACCGGTACCATTTTGAGGGATTAAATTTCTTTTTAATTTTCAGGAAGGTACACATCTCTAGTGTTGAAAAATGTGTGATAGCATCCGATCCATGGTAGCTTTCATTAGAAATCAACACTTATATCATCCTACCTCAAGGATAAGGTGTTCAGTGACTACAAGAGAGAAAAATCTATCCTTTTATAATTTTAAAATTTTATTTTAAAAAATATAATTTTTTTATAAAAAATTTTTATAAAATTTTATAAAATTTTTATAAAATTTTATACAATTTGTATAAAATTTTATAAAAATTTTACAAAATTGTATACAATTTTTTTATAAAATTTAAAATTTATTTAAAGATAAATTCATTTATCCTTTTTCTTGACATGTGTTTGAAAATCGTCCTCCGTAACCAAAAACTACCTTGAATCTAATGCTATCACACATTTTTCAAATACAGGGTCATATACCTACACAAAAATCACCATGCGGTTTAATCCCTCAAAATGGTACCAATCAACCCTCTGTCTCACGGCCTAATAGAGAAAAAATAAAAATAATTCAATTTCACATTATATGAAAAATAATTCAAAATGTGAAAATTCTTCCTTCATTCTAAAATGTGTTTATTTGTTTGTTTGGGGGGTAAATGTTACTGTACCTGCTTTCTCTCTGGACATGCTTTCTATCTTTTATTCTGTGAAGTACTAGAAGTTTTGAATTTTTCAGACAATATTCTCTCTTAATTCCTTCATACAGATTGCTGAACTCTACATTGATGAGAAGAATTGTATCCTTTTTGATCAACCCTCGCTCCACATTGTGTAACTGAACATAAAATAATAAATCCTTTTTATCTGCACAACAAACATACATGAAATGAAACACTGTATGTTTTATGTTGTATGTGCAAAGCAGTTGTGCAGTTTGGTTAATGCAGGGCCTTTACAACTGTAGCTTCTTCAGTGTGGTCTTTTCCCTAAGAGGATTTGTGGACACTTATCGAATCTCAGCTGAAAGAGCATCACAGCTAATTAACCTGCTTAGACCCAGCACGAGCTCCCCTGTCATTATTCATCCACGGACTGCCATTAACAGCAAGGCTAGTGTTACGTGACATACATTCCCTCTTAAACCCATGGCCTCTCAATTACTAAAGCATAGAGTTTAAACGGGTTCAAGACTGGTAGTTTCAGCTCAAACGGGTCATTTACAAGTCATTAACCAAGATCATTCATAACCTCTTTTCCAATTAAAATCCAATTACATGTGAATTGGTTTCAACATATTTTCTATGATCTTAAGCAGTAAATAGCGGTGGGACTTGGTGAAAAATGTGATCTCTGTGTAATTACATAAAAGAGAAATAATTGATGTAGATTGTATCATTTAATTGAATAAGCTATTTAATTACATGCAAAACATTAGTCTGTTCAATCAATGCACAACAAGGGACTTTGGAATAGGTGATTTGAGGAGCTGGGATGAATTGGGTGTGGTTACACAGAGATGTTATCTGGAATGTTCTGCCATTCTATTATCCTCATATGGACCAGTGCTCATGCAAAGCCTATATATCAGTAAAAGGCAGAACGGTGAATTAGGGTGTAAAACACATATACTTGCTTGCAATGGCAATTGTTTTGGTCCACAGTATTTTTTTGACAGAACTGCCCTCATACATACACCGGACCAGAGCGTTTGACTGACACGTGAAGCGACCAAACACAGTCCAGTACAGAAAATTGCGAAAGTTTAGTGTCAGTAAGATTTGTTTTTAAAAGAATAAGGATATTAAGTGACAGTGACAGTGTAGACATGTATAATCTGACAAAAGATTTATATTTTAAAAAACATGTCTTTCTTTTTTTTTACTTTACTTTTCACCCCAAAAAAATGGATCATGGTTGTAATGGAGTAATGGCTGGTGAAAATTATAAAAAATATTCAAATAGAAAGTTATTTTAAATTGTAATAATATTTCAAAATGTTATTGTTTTTACTGTATTTAATCAAATAAATGCAGCCTTGGTGAGCCTAAGAGACTAAAAAAATTCCCAATCTTACCAATCCACAACTTTTGGTAGTGTAAAAGGAAAGATTTTATGCCACAAACCTTGCAAACGTAAATACATATAGTAGTAAATATTCTTCTTCCAAAGCACTCATTGTAGCAAACAGTAAATTTAGTTTTTCAGACCTCAAACCCAAATGAAAGTTAAAAACATATTATATGACACCATGCTATCATATCTCTTCAGTTGCATGTTCAGGAAGATGAAAGCCAAGGCATAACTTTCATCATGTACTCATTTTCTAACCGGGAGTAGATACAATGGGTGAGATTGACACTCCCGAACCGGCATGATCAACAAGAAAAAGAAATGTAGAAATTGCTTCCACAGTCATGCTGAGATTGCGGGAAATATACATGCCAAGCAGAAGGACAAAGCTAGCATATTTATGTATTGATAAAGTGCTGCGTATGTCCTCTAAAGCACCAGAGCGGGTATTGTAATAAGTAATGCACATATCTGCCTTGCCAATGCATCTCTTTGCAATCTTTATTTCTAAAGCTAGCTTACACAACTTATTTTTAGATGTCATAACCAGTTTAGATGGAAAGGATCTCAAGCTGACTAGCTGAAGACATTACTCTAGCTCAGGGATGGGCAACTTTGATGATAGTGAGGGCCACAAATATTTTATCGTCACTATCAGAGGGCCAAATGTGACTGTGCACTTCCACCAATGGGATATTGAAAAATTAGAGGTACCATTTTAGAAGAAAACAATGTATGTATGTATGTATTACAGACTCTGCTTAGTGAATCAACCTGCATGTCCATATTCAATTATTTTTTCTGCTTCTTTTCATGAATGAACTTTTAACATAAACAAATAAAACATTACTGTGGCAAATGTTTTTTATTTTTATTCAAGTGCAAACATGTTGGGCTCTCAAAAAACAACCAATGATGGCACAAAACTGAAAAGTAGCCTATTAAGTGAAAAAACTTAATGGGATATTGGAAAATTAGAGCTACCATTTTAGAAGAACAAAACATATGTATGTCTGTATTACAGACTCTGTAATGTTTAGTGAACCAACCTGCATTTCCATACTCTAGTATTTTTTTACTCAATCTATTTTTTTCTGCTTCTATTCATTAATGAACTTTTAACATAAACAAACAAAACATTACTGAGTAGCAAACCTTTTTTTTATTATTATTATTCCCGTGCAAACATTGTGGGCTCTCAGAAAAACGTAAGCATACTTTCCACCATAGGCTATATCTCACTTACAGGGGGGAAAGTTTAAAGTTAATGAGATACTTGTGGTCTCTCCTGCTGGCGTGCAATAGACTGGATGTCAATGTCAATGTTAGTGCAGCCAATCCTCATGAGCTGAAACAGAACGTCATCGCTGATCCTGTTTCTCTCTTTCGACTTTATATGTTTCATTGTGGAGAAGTTGCTCTCGCAAATGTACGTGCTCCCAAACATGCTGGCCATTGACAGTGCAAAATCCCTGAGAAGTGGAAAGCGAGACTCTGGTAGTAACCTCCAAAATGAAACTCCCCTCTCACTGCGCTTTGCTTGAAAAAACGGGTCTGACTGAATTTCGCAAAGTTCAAGCTGCAACTCGGAGGGTTGCTCGCTGACAGCAGCAGAGAGTGGGTCAGTGAATAACGCTATTCGTGGCTGCATGGCGTGGAAATCATGGAAGCGGCACTTAAACTGCTGCTGCAGTGTTTCGATGTCGGCTCTGTATTTGTGAAAAATTTTCTCGCATTCAGGGACATCTCTCCGGATCTCTTCACAAGCGGGAAAGTGCAAAATTTTGACAATTGGCTGAAAATCCTTCTTTGAAAAGCTCTAATTTACGCCGAAATGCATTCATGTGTGCGTAAAGGTCGGATACAGTTTGGCCTCGCCCCTGTAACTGTGTGTTCAGGTGATTGAGGTGTGAGGTAACGTCCGTAAGGAAGGCCATATCGCAAAGAAATTCGGTGTCTCTGAGTTTTCGGGTGTAGGCACTTGTATCGCCTCGAACACTGTCCTCCAAAAACACAGGCAGTTCGGTGCGCAACGCAAAAAAACGCTCCAGACACTTTCCTCAGCTCATCCATCTAATCTCGGTGTGCATTTGTAAATCCCCATACGCCGCGCTCACTTCATCCAAAAAAGCTACAAACCTCCTGTGACTGAGAGACCTATTCCCTCCTCGGATGAGATTTGTAACTTTAGTCACCAGATCCATAACGTGACTGAAGTTAAGTGTCTTGGCTCAGAGAGCCTCCTGTAGAATTAAAATAAAGATTAGATTCAGCGCTAAAATCTACACATCCTGTCATATTAATCTCATAAGGCCGCCCATATTCATAATAATAAAAAGTGAGCTGAAGATAAAACAACTCACCTGATGGATGATGCAATGCAGTATAGGACAGTCCACCCCACTCTGTTGGAGGAGCCCGGCGAAACCATTGTGTTTTCCTTGCATCGCAGGTGCGCCATCAGTAACGACGGCTGACAGCTTGTCAAAGCCACCATAGTACTCATTCACAACACTGTTAACGGCGTTGAAAATATCCGTCCCTTTAGTAGTGTTGTGCAACGACACCAATTTTAAAAGTTCTTCGTGTACAACAAATGAACTGTCAATCGTTCTAGTGAAAATCAGTAGCTGGCTAATATCCGTCACATCTGTGCTCTCATCCAACGCTAATGAGAAGTATTTGCAGTCGTGCATGACTTGTTTCAGTTTGCCATCGACGTGATTATGGATGTCAAAAATTCTGCGTGTCACTGTGCGACGGGACAAGGAGACAGTTTCAAAGTTTTTAGCCATATCCTCGTCTCCAAATGATTTGGCCATTTCCATTGCACACCTCTTCACCATTTCGCCATCTGACAAGGGCTTCTTGGCTTTAGCAAGCTCCAGTGCCACAGAGTAAGACGCCTTGAGGGCAGACTCCTGTGTGGATGTAATTCTGGTAAAAATACTCTGTTGTTGATTGAGCTTCACTTTCAGGTCAGCTATAACAGCGGACCTAGCAGCTCCGGTGTACTTTCCATATTTGTCCCTGTGTGTGGTATTGTAATGGCGACTTAAGTTGAAATCTTTGAATACCGATCTTGTTTCCAAACACACTAAACACATAGGTCTACCTTTGAATTCTGTAAACAGATAATCTGTTTCCCATCTCGTCTGAAAAGTACGATTCTCTTGATCCAGTTTTCTTTTTTTACCTCTCATGGTTCTTTATCTTCATCGTTGACTGTAGTGAAGCAGGTCCGACTAAGAGTTTTGCATAGGAGGCGCCCTCTATCGGTATACTGTATCATTACCATTTGGAATTTGTTCAGATGTAGTAAAACCCCTTTTTGCGGGCTGTGACGCGTTCGGGCGCGCGCGCTTCCATTGGACGCGACGTCACGCCAGGCTCGCTGGTAGGCTGCTACAGTTGCTGCGGAGCAGCCAATGAGCGCGCTAGACAGCCCGCTCTAGGTCTGCTAGCTGCTGCACTGCGTTGACAATTATGCAAAATTAAGGATCATTTTTGGCTTCATATCTCGAGAAAAGATGACCTTTCCCGTAGCGTAAGCTTCTTACGCAATACGAGAGAACCTCTCGTAAGAGAACAACATTTCTATGGTATTTGAAAATTGACCCGCGGGCCGCACTGAGTGAGGAGGCGGGCCGCATGCGGCCCGCGGGCCGCCAGTTGCCCATCCCTGCTCTAGCTATATCCATAATAGATACAGTATTTCCTTGAAAATAAATTCCAGCACAGACAGTGCAGCACCAGCAAATGACCCTCTACATTAGATAATGCTTTACAATGAACTCTGTTAGAGAGCTACATGTGTCAATTTATCTGGTCAATAAAATACCTTACTGACCTGTTGAGTAGTAAAAACGGCATCTCCCTGTTGCTTTTACTAGATTTCTAATCCCTCATTTCTCACCATCTCCGAAAAGCCAAGCTAATGTTGATTCTTGTTTTATTACAAATTAATATCGCATTCTCTTTTCCCCAGCAACTCTCCTCAGTTCTGCCGTTTTTAAACGGGTGATTCCCCGGAGGTTGGAGATTTAGCTGCTCCACGTCAGCCTTTCTCTCTCGTTGTGACAACTAACCTGTTCCACTCCCACACTAGACACACGACAAAGTACCCGGAGCAACTTTTCTCTATTTATGGATATGATGAGACTCGTATATGTACGCAATTGACCGTTCGCAAAGACCCGCCCCCTTTAGTTACTGTTGCTATGTCCGACAAGCCACGCCGCTCTCACGCCACATACCATGTTCTCACAAAGTGAAAAATACATACTGACAACGCACTGACAGACAGGACAGACCAGGTTACTTTTGATATTAAAACAAAGTCTCAACTTTCAAATTTGGTCATTTTTTAAAGAAATTTAAACAATAAATACCGTTTTGCAATTTGGTTTGAACATTGGGGGGTTGGAGTGTGAACAGGGTCCCAGGGCATGCTCCTTCGTGAGGTTTGTTTATTTATTTTTGCAAAATTGACTTTTTGTGGTATCATCCACACATGCACATCATACAGCTCATAAAAGCTCAGAACTAATTAATTTTTAATTGGTGAATTAATTAATTGGCTGATTCTATACACTATATGTGTCTTGTGGGTAGTCAGAGTACCTGCAAATATGCTGGTACACGTTTTGGAAGAAGGATTGATGATGTATTGAAAAATTATTTACATTTTTGTTCATTTTGAACAAAAATAAATGTTATACCTTCACCTAAAACTAAAACCGTAAAAAAACGATATATTGTATACTAAGCAATATTTCCAAAAATATGAAGCATAACTGGACACAGGCCTTTAATCAAATGGAGAGGAAGGCAATGCTAAATGAACGACAAAAATCCACGCAGAATAAATTGTTCCTGGTCTCACCTCCACAGCTATTTCAACAGTTAGCATCACGTTCACCACAAATAGATTTATCACTTTCAAACTGATCCCCATGTGGTTAGTCAGCAAATTCAGATGTTCCTCAGCCAGCTGGGATCTAAAAATATGTCCGGGACACCTGGGAATATGCTGCCCATTCTTGGAAAAGATCATTTTAAGAGGGACAACATAACTTAGCACTGCTTATAATGAGACACACACATTGTCATCAGTAAATGAAAAAAACGTCTAATTTTTTCTAAGTTTATTGCTAGACCATGTAAACTAATGTTTAAAAGTTTGGGGTTGGTAAAATGTTTAAATGTTTTTGAGAATAGTATCTTGTGCTCACAAATCATGCATTTATTTGATCTAGTAAAACAGTGAAATTGTGAAATATTATTACAATTTAAAATAACTGTGTTCTATTTGAATATATTTTAACATTACATTTATTTATGTGATGGCAAATCTGAATTTTCAGCATCATTACTCTGTTCAGTGTCACATGATCCTTAAGAAATCATTCTAATATGCTGATTTGGTGCTAAGAAAACATTTCTTTTTATCAAGTCAAGTCACCTTTATTTATATAGCACTAATACAGATGATAAAATACAGATGTTTCAAAGCATCTTTACAATGAAAATAATTCAATGATTTAGACAGAGTTCTTTTCGGCTGTACAGCAGCTCTAAAAGAAAATAGTGTCATTGTTCAGCTGAAGTCAGTTCAGTGTTGATTCAGTTCCGTTATAAAGATCATCAATTATTACATTAGTTCATTTCATCTATAAAGCAGTTCTGTAGAAAAACAGTGAATCAAGCACAGTTCAGTTCTCATCCAATAGAGTCAGTGCAGTCAGATCAATAATATTGCTGAATATGAAGTGATGTAATATTCATATTTTTATTATCAAAGAAAACAGTTGAGCTGCTTAAAATATTTGTGGAAACTGTGATATACAGACATATACTGTATATATATATATATATACACTCACCTAAAGGATTTTTAGGAACACCTGTTCAATTTCTCATTAATGCAATTATCTAATCAACCAATCACATGGCAGTTGCTTCAATGCATTTAGGGGTCTGGTCCTGGTCAAGACAATCTCCTGAACTCCAAACTGAATGTCAGAATGGGAAAGAAAGGTGATTTAAGCAATTTTGAGCGTGGCATGGTTGTTGGTTCCAGACGGGCCGGTCTGAGTATTTCACAATCTGCTCAGTTACTGGGATTTTCACGCACAACCATTTCTAGGGTTTACAAAGAAGGGTGTGAAAAGGGAAAAACATCCAGTATGCGGCAGTCCTGTGGGCGAAAATGCCTTGATGATGCTAGAGGTCAGAGGAGAATGGGCCGACTGATTCAAGCTGATAGAAGAGCAACTTTGACTGAAAAAAACACTCGTTACAACCGAGGTATGCAGCAAAGCATTTGTGAAGCCACAACACGCACAACCTTGAGGCGGATGGGCTACAAAAGCAGAAGACCCCACCGGGTACCACTCATATCCACTACAAATAGGAAAAAGAGGCTACAATTTGCAAGAGCTCACCAAAATTGGACAGTTGAAGACTGGAAAAATATTGCCTGGTCTGATGAGTCGAGATTTCTGTTGATACATTCAGATGGTAGAGTCAGAATTTGACGTAAACAGAATGAGAACACGGATCCATCATGCCTTGTTACCACTGTGCAGGCTGGTGGTGGTGGTGTAATGGTGTGGGGGATGTTTTCTTGGCACACTTTAGGCCTCTTAGTGCCAATTGGGCATCGTTTAAATGCCACGGCCTACCTGAGCATTGTTTCTGACCATGTCCATCCCTTTATGGCCACCATGTACCCATCCTCTGATGGCTACTTCCAGCAGGATAATGCACCATGTCACAAAGCTCGAATCATTTCAAATTGGTTTCTTGAACATGCCAATGAGTTCACTGTACTAAAATGGCCTCCACAGTCCCCAGATCTCAACCCAATAGAGCATCTTTGGGATGTGGTGGAACGGTAGCTTCGTGCCCTGGATGTGCATCCCACAAATCTCCATCAACTGCAAGATGCTATCCTATCAATATGGGCCAACATTTCTAAAGAATGCTTTCAGCACCTTGTTGAATCAATGCCACGTAGAATTAAGGCAGTTCTGAAGGCGAAAGGGGGTCAAACACAGTATTAGTATGGTGTTCCGAAATAATCCTTTAGGTGAGTGTATATCCTTGCTGAAAAATATAAATTTCTTTTAAAAAAACTTACTAACCTTTTGAATGATAGTGTATGTACAGTACTTGTTTGACTTTTTTAGTTTGTTTATTTAATATAATTAATACTGTAGCTAAAGCAAACTTTCAAAATTCTAACAAGAGTTTCAGCTGTACTTTATGATATCAAATAGAAGCATCAGCAAGTCACTGCACATACAAAAAAGAAATACTGCCAATATCTAGGTCATTCACGGCTATTTTAAGAACATTTTCCTTTCTGGCTGTATTTTTGTAATGACACCTAAGGGCAAATATGATGATCTTACAAAGAGATAGTAATGACATGCCTTTGAAAACATTGAACAAACTCTTTAGTGACTATTTATAGAACTGCTGCAAGCTTTGTGTCTTTCTATAGAGCTTAAATGAGAAGGTGACACAAACACTAACCAATCAAAATATCAAACAGGCCTTGAGCTAGAATAGGGATTGTATGTTTGACTGTTTTTCTGTTTATGCAATACATCAAATTTTCAGTGAACACCAGTGTTCTTTATTGTCTTTGGTGATGCTAGCAGCTGAACAAATCAGGATTTCACTGAGCTGGAGTAATTGGGCATGTGTGTGATCATAACAAAAGTCTATTTCATGGTGACAAGCATGTCTAATCCTTGACCCGTTTAAAATCAGATGGGAAAGCACTGCAGTTCATTCAGGCGGAGAAGATGTTTTACGAAGTGGCATTGATCGAGCTCACCTCGCTGCAGGCCAGCACAGGCAGGTCCACTTTTTATGGCTTTATGTAAATATATTTTTATGATGCTGTTGAGTGGACATGTGTCTCCTTGATCAGTATATTCACAATAGACATTATCATCATAGCTGTGTACCATAATATATTTAAGCAATATCTCAAGCAAGATGTTCAGGTCAGCAGCATGATTGTGAGAGTGTGCACTACTTTTTTACAACTGTTCAACAAACAAACTTTGTGTATTTTTGCTCCATCAACAAAAATAGTTCCAAACAAAGTCAAAGCTTTCCTTCCAGAATGAATCTGTTTATGAACTAATTGGTTCAGTGAATTATTCAATAGCTTACTTACTTACAAAGATATTAGGTGCATTTCTATCGACCGCAAGTGCCCTGCGAGTGCGAAGTACACTTCAATGGGTATTGTGTCATCGTAAGTGAAATTCCAATTCAAAGGGAACATAAATGAAAGGTTCCAAAAGGGAATTTTCACACTGAATGCTATAGAAGAACCATTTTTGGTTCATTTTCTGAAACTTTTTCCACTGTACAAAACCTTCTGGGAAATGCAAAGGTTCTATGGATGTTAAAGGTTCTTCATGGAACCATCAATGCAAATCAATAACCTTTTTATTTTTAAGAGTGTACATGTTCAGCACTTGAACTCTTGCGAAATATTTGCTGCAAATTTGTGATTAATCTGTGGCAAATTTATGGCAATGTTTGCCAGAAGAAGGTTTGAAAAGGACAGAGATGATTATTTTCTGAAATTTATTGAATGTACTGTACGTAGGTGGTAAATAGGTATGTTTACATACACTAGTTTTCGCCAAAACGAATGAACCCAGTCCGATTCCAGGTTCAGTTTATATCAACCCTAAACGTTACACTCCGGTTCACATATTCACTTACATGTGCATCAGGGATGGAAATTAACTTTTTTGTCCACCGGCCACTGTGGCTGGTGGATTTCAAAATCTACCAGCCACTCAATGTTTTTACCAGCCACTTTCTTGTTTTTAACCGATAATGTGTAACTGCATGTGAAAATTAATACTACAAGAATACTTAAGCAGTTTATTTAATCTCAAGTCTCAATGAAATACTGACATTTTCTCTTTCTCTCACCCTCGGCCTCATCCACCTAATCTGTCATTTATTTTTGTTTTGATGATAAATTGAGCCAGCCTCCAAAAGTAATTAACCTGTCCTGTGATTTTTTTTCTCTCACACAACACTCTCCAGACACGGATTTATGAGCTATAGTATGTTGGTTGCCTTTACATTAGAATAATATTTAATATAATCTAGATATGAAATGGAATAAATAGCATTCAATACAAAATGAATATGTCTCATATTGAAATCAAGTTTTATGTGATAAAATATTTGCTTTGTTGTGCATTAGAACCACATCAGGCATTTAGTAAAAAATAATTTATTGAAGCATCCAGATACTTCACCACGTGACAGCAGCTAGGCTCTTGATTGGTTAACGCGGCGCGAATTGACGCCAAAGTTCAGATTTTTCAACTCGGGCGGCAGACGCGAATTCGCGTCAAACGCGTGAATGCACAAAAGCACTCAATAAAATCATGCGCGCGGAACGCGTCAGACGCTCGAACTTGCCGCGCGAATGAGGCGTATTCGCATCTACCACGGCGCGCTCTACACCTCATTCGCGCCGTAGGAATTTTTTACGCGCGTAATGCGTCTTTGCATTGACTTAACAATGAAATCACTCGCGCCAGACGCTCTATTCTCGTCTGGTGTGAACGCACCATAATGTTTTCTCTGCAGACCTCTACGCCTGCGATGTAACGCCACATTTTTGTTTGAAGGTGTGCCTCCTCTAAAAGTGTCCGCCGTCCGGGTGAAACAGTATGCTATTTTTATTTACCCGCCACGGTGGCCGGTAGGTGAAGCGAGTTTACCCGCCACAACACAAAATCACCCGCATTTGGCTGGTGGCGGGTGCTAATTTCCATCCCTGATGTGCATTATATGTAGGCTATTACGAACAAAATATAATTCAGATCAAGCTCAATCGAATCGACTGAGGTCTAAAATGAAGGCTTTTCAGTCCGCTTTAGCCATCAATACTATTATTTGGGTGTATGTAGCTAATGAATCATTTAGTCAAAATACTGATTTATTCAGGAATGAAACAAGCAAAATATGAAAAATGTAATTTGGTTATATAAGATGTGTCTTCTTATCTTATATAACCCCCAACAACCAAACATGTCCCCAAGGTCCTGTCAGAGAGCAGTAATGTATTTAACAGAGGAGGTTCATCTTTACCTGCCGTGAGATGAACCAGTATTTATGGATGAAGGAGACCCATTGATCTCCTCCCATGGTGGACGTCTGCCTTTCCTCTGGCTCTCTGCTTGCTGCTGAGACAGCATAGAGTTCTAGCATGGGCAGAGAGTACAGGAGCCTAGAGAGATTTATGACCACGCTATACATTACCTCATTAAAGAGCTGTTGAGTACCATGGAGATGCTGCCTGAGTCAGCACTTTGTGTGATTTCTACCCTCTGGCCTTACTCAGTTCCCATCATGCACTCTGGATACACCAAAAGATTTCTGTGTAGAGCGATATTGTGTCTGCAACATTTAATAAGTGTATTGATCCAGTAAAATTAGGTTTAAAGGAGCTGTATGTAAGAAATGTATTTCAATTAATCATAAAATGGCCCTGAAATGTCACTAGACATTAAGAAATCATGTTTATTTCAAATACTTATATCACTGACAACAGTAGTCTGGCCAGGATATTGTCATTTAAAAAGTGCAGTTGCAGCCCTCAACTGATGTTGATGTTGTCATGTTGTGTTTTGGTCTGATGCTCCACCCTCCACCTATCTACCAATCACGAAGTCAGTAGTGTTGCGACATCCGGGTTGCCAGCTCTGCTCAATTACCACAGCTGCAGCTCATCACGTTCCTGCTGGATCCTGCAGCCGATCTGGCAACCTCGAGTCAGGGAGGAGGGGGAGGGGATACACCACTCTACAGTAATTTGAAAGTGATTGCAGTACTAGTTTTGGCCACAATCTTACATACAGCTCCTTTGAATACAGAAGTGCATTTCGTAGGGGCCGTTCGCACGGAACAAGTTTTGCACTCCACTTATGCTAACTTATGGGAGTAATGCGGCGTACTTCTGATATTTACGCTACGCCATGACGAACTACGCTACTTCCGACGTCACAAGTTGCGTAAGCTGCTCTTTAGGCGCAAGTAGACTGCGTTTGGCCAGAAGCTAGAATTTTACTTTGTAATGTGTTGAATGTAGTGCTGTCAAACGATTAAAATATTTAATCGCGATTAATCGCATTAATGTCATAGTTAACTCGCGATTAATCGCACATTTTTATCTATTCTAAATGTCTCTTGATTTCTTTTTGTCCCATTATTTTTTCTAGTTTTAATGCTCTTATCAACATGGAAAAGTGGATCGGCTTGCTTTGTGCAAATGTTTTTTATTGAAAACAACATTGAGATATACTGTTAAATTTCACACTAATGCCTCGTTTCCACTGAGCGGTACGGTACGGTACAGTTCGGTTCGGTACGCAATTATTTGCGTTTCCACTGTCAAAAGTTGTGAATGGTACCAAAAAGCCGAACCGTACCGTACCACTTTTTGGGTACCCTTCCGTTGGGGTACCTAGCACAGTGGTACGGTACTAAAAGGTGGAGCTAGACTCACTGCAGAACGGTGATTGGTTGACAGAGTATCGTCAATTGCGCGTGCTACAAGGGCATTAGAAGCATACAGTTAAAATATAATACTACTGTTATTGTGTCACGAAATGTAGTTTTAAGAGTTTTTCAGGCGAGAAAGTAGTTTTTTAAAGCTCAAATCTGTGGTTTATTTATAGATTTATGATAATTTGAAGATCCATTCCAAGCAATCACCGGGCGCTCGTCGCTCGTGCACCCCGCCTGGAGCAGCCTTTCCCCGGCTAGCCGTTCTGATGTTTGCCGCTGACTCTGACGTCTCTGTAGTGGTTAAACATGAGATATAATTCGCCTTGTACAGACCTAACAGGCGATCTTTGGTCTCGTGAATTTATAATTCGTTCCCTGGCCAATAGTTTTGGCAGAAGGCTAAGTGAAGTTTCATATATTTGAGCGCTGAATTTGTATATTTGACTGAATTGTTTGCTTTGTTATTAAAGCTTTACTGTATATATTTTTGTACCTTTTACTAATACTTTTATAATGGCTATTATTGATAAAACTGAAATTCAACAAAAATAGATAGTTTTGTCATTTATTTTCTTTTATTTCAAGATCATCTGTAATGTTGTCTATTGCAACATTTGTACTAATGCAATACGCAATACATTGCCTGGAATATGTTTAATATTTTTAAATTGAAACGAAAAGAGGCAGGATTGTGTTTTATATTTAGTTTTGTTATAAATATAACGTTACATGCAGTGAATATAATCAATATAGGCTATGCGTTGCCTGAACCACATTTGTAATGTACTTATAATGTTTAAAATGTATTTAAATTAAATCGAAAAGAAGCAGAGTGGTGTTTTATAACATATTTCGTTTTATTGTTGCCTAAAATGTACATAACCGGAGTAGCAGAGCGAGCTGAGTGGCGCTTTCAAGAACGCGCTGTTCCATCAGCAGAATTACTGGACTCGCGTCCTCGGGATCATTCTCCTGAGTCGGACTTTGCGTGGCTACTTGGTATTGAGAAACGCCTAATGCCAGCGCTTGTTTCTTGTGACAAACATCCCGAGAAGCAAGAACAAGATCTGCTGTCTGTCATCCATTGTTGTTTACTATGTCGTTTTTGTTCGCGCGAAAATGACGTCGATCGCTTCTCTCCGGCAAACACCACGCCTATCAAGTGACGTTATCACAACTTTCCGGCATACACCACGCCTATCAAGTAGGGTACTGTTGGCAGTGGAAACGCGAGCCCCGATCATGGTTTAGCGACCCGACCCGAACCGTATCGTACTGAACCGTACCGTACCACTCAGTGGAAACGAGGCATAACATTCTCACTTGGAGCAAATAATCTCTCACACAATGTAACACTGTCCATCAATAAAAGGGTGAAAGAAATACTGACGAGGTCCTGATATTGACGAGGGGGCGGAGGATTCGCATCAGTTGTGTGTGTGTGTGTGTGTGTGTGTGTTTGGCCATCAAGTGGTATTTCAGACTAGACGTGCTGCGATGATGATAGCTCAGTTCACAACGACAAAACACACAGATCACTTTGGTCTTGTCAATGGAACCATTTGGCAACTTTTTAAAAGTAAACTTCCATTCAAAATCTTATTGGCATCCATTTCGGCGTCTCGCGCTCGTCATCCACTCAAAACGTAACGTTAACCAACTATTTGGCCGGCTTGCAAGCCCAAACAAGTGTGTGCGGTGTGCCTGTTGTTTTGTTCCCGGTCTAGCTAGATCCGCTTGCGCATTCAAAACGTCCTCGCGCGGCACAAGCCATTGAAATGAATGGGTTTCATAGCGCCGCGCATGCCGCGTCCTGTTGCAAAAGCATGTGAAAAAAAACTACAAAGTTTGCTAGGCCAAAAAGACCGTTAATCGCGCGATAAAAAAATGAACGCCGTTAAAATGGGTTTGCGTTAACGCCGTTAATAACACGTTTAACTGAAAGCCCTAGTTGAATGTGAATATTTTTCTTACACGAACGAATGGCTTCGCTTCAGAAGGCCTTTATTAACCCCCCGGAGCGGTGTGGATCACTTTTATGATGGATAGACGCACTTTTATGGTCTTCAAAACAGAAACAACCATTCACTGCCATAAAGCTTGGAAGAGCCAGGACGTTTTTTAATATTACTCCGATTGTATTCGTCTGAAAGAAGAATGTCATATACACCTAGGATGGCGTCAGGGAGTAATGTAAATCATGCGCTAATTTTCATTTTTTGGGTGAACTATCCCTTTAAACTGTCAGCTTGAGATTTGAATCTGTGGTGGAAGTTATCCCACACAAAATAGGGTTTTTAAAGACTCTCTGTTGCTGTTTCTTATTGATTTATATGAAAGCAATGTCACACGAGTAGGAGTGTGATACATGGCTCTGTATCAGCGCGTCTGTGATCGCCTCCTGTACTCGGCCTGTGGCCTTGTGTCTATGGCCCAATCGCAGCCGATATAGAGCCATATCACACTCCTACTCGTGTGAAATTGCTCATGTATTGCCAGAACATTAAGCTTACAATCAGGTCTTCATTTCAATATTGATACCCAGGCAGAAAATATAATTTAGTAATCTTCTTGGCATTGCCAGTTCTAGTTGGTCTTTCTAAGCTTCTGTTTTTCATACGTTTCATTTCCTTGTAAGAGCATTTGAATCTGTGGGTGTGGTGGCAGTGATCGGCCGTCTCTCTCTCTCTCTCTCTCTCTCTCTCTCTCTCTCTCTCTCTCTCTCTCTCTCTCTCTCTCTCTCTCTCTCTCTCTCTCTCTCTCTCACCCTCCCTCCCTCCCTCCCTCCCTCTCTGTCTTTTTCAGTCTTGTCACTGTCTTGTTGTCTCTGTACGCGAGTGTCTCTGTGAGTGTTTTTGCATTGTCTGTGAGGTTTCTGACAGACTTTGTGTGAATCAGGGTCTCGGGAAGACGGGACATTGGGAAGCTCAGGATGTCTGTCTCAAGAGGAGTTATCAGAACAGGCTTCTCAGGCCCAGGATCTTGAGAGACTGGCTCAGCTCTGCATCATGAGCAAGAGGTAGGAGAGTGAACTGACTGTGAGAATGATCCTGCATAGATACAGCATGCTATATATTTTTTAAATACCAAATGCCATACCAAATACAAGTCAATGTGTATTGATAGAGGGCATTTCATGAGCACTTGATGCATGATTTAGGAAGATGCATTCAATCATTCTTACTTAATTTGGCCCAGTTTTACTCAAGATCATTTTATTTGTGCTATTTGTCCACACTACATTCCTTGTTTATGTCTCATCCAAGAAATACTTGACTGCTGTTCTAGTAACGTTTCTTAGTAATATAAACAAATACAAAGCAGAACTGTTTCATATGGTAACATTCAGCTTTACTGGTTTTATTAGAGAGAAAATGTAAATGATTTAAAATGATGGGCAGCATTTATACCTGATTTATAACTGCATGTTTTACAGTCTTCTGATTTGGTTAAAATTCTGGAAGTGCAGTTCATGTTCTGGGATGTACACAAGTTTTTATTTATGCTGAATTAGGAATCCCTTACTATATTGGCTCAAGTGTGCGCTCGTACGGAGAGAGGAAGAGAAAGGTGACTTGTGTTATGTGAGTCTCAAGGTTTCAGATGTTACTAGGACACTCTGAGAGAGGTGTCCGCTTTCCTCCAGGGGCTTAAAATGATGAAGCGGTCTTTTGTAAGCCACTACCACATACACTTGAGGACATTTATGACCACCAGTTGGCCCTTGTTGGGGACTTAAAGCATTTAACCTGATTGTCCCAGGGAAGGAGACTGGTAGGTTGTTGATGCCACAGGAGAGAGGATGGCATTACACTTGAATGAGAACGAGATTGTTTTATTGCTGCTCCAATAAGATAATGTTTCACAGGACAAAGAAATGTGGGGGTATCCACACCATTTGTATGTAATCCCTTAAACTCTTTGGCTCAGGTAACTCTTGAAACCTGAACAGGATAGATCTTCAAGATCTGTTGGTAAACTAGGACAGCAGTCATGGTTGAAGTTGTTGCTATTTCAGCTTAAAAACACCTGAACAAATGTGACCTCATTATTTCTCCCTTTAATAATATCAGTTTAGGGGGCAATGTCAGGACACTCATTTTTGACCTTATAATTAAATTATAATTCATACAAAAACACAATTACTTAACAATGGCTGCGTCCGAAAGCTTTGGCGGCTGACTTGTTGCCTCGCTGCCTGCCTTATCAGGCAATGACTTCACAGGCAGCGTTTGCACACAAAGTGTAACGATTTAATGATCTACAGCAAAATGGATAATAAAGAAATAAAAACTCCATTTATAGAATGAAATTCTTAAACAGAAAAAACTAAGTAGTTTGGCTTAATATTAGATTTCTCCGATTTTTTTTTTTAAAAAGTCATGCGGTGCAACATGGACAAAAAAAAAGTTAGTTCAAGTTGTAAATTTTCATGTGGTGTGTGTATATATATTTTTTATATATATACATTTTTATACGATTTTCTTCCTTTTCTTAACCATGGACAGTGGACATTCTTATATTTTTGACCCTCAAATCAATATTTCATGTCCATTTATTTATTTGACACCCCACTGATACCCCAAAAATGTGCTTGTATTACTTTTTCAGGTAACAAATAAATTTACTTCAATGTCTGATAGTTTTGACACAAAATGTAGCTCAAGCCTTATTGAGTGAATAGGAAGTGGTTCTGCCTCTTGAATCTTTCAGTGTTGGGGCAGGAAGTGCTCTTGTAGCTGAGAGCTTTGCCATGTTGTGTCCGATCAAATGTCCTTTGAGGACAATCCAAAACAGTGCAAACCAACACCTAGTCATTATTAATTAAAGCAAGACCATAATAACCACACTGACATATGTATTGGGTTTTAAAAACATACTGTACTTAGAAGAGAGAAGTACAGAAGACTATTAAAAAATGTGACATTCAAAGCGCATGTGAAGGATTCAATATTGAATTCCTGACCTATATGCAAAAAAAGCTAATTAAAGTCATTTTACAAAACAATAGTGCTGCAATATGGACTGCGTAGTGCTAAATGACCACATGAAGAAACAGTTCCATGTGAAATCCCTCGGGAAATTCTCATTATACACCTTGAGGGCAAAGCAGCGCCTATCTAAACAGCACCATTCTTCACACACATGCCAAGAGTTTCTGTTGAAAAGAATAGAGTGCCATATCTCTGGCACGGGCCGCACATTTCCACTACCTCCTTCAGGAATCATAGCACACGTGTGGCCAGATTTGTTGTGACGGGTGCTGTAATGGATCCGCATGCCTCACCGAGCCTGACTGAGGTGGGCTATTGCTGTGGTATTCTGAAACTGTCTGTATCTGTGCTTAAATTAAGCAAAGGTGCCAGGCCTGTGGGATCAAATAGAGCTTTATGCCTATGTGCTCTACTTCTTTTTTTTTTTTTTACAACCGCTTCCCAATAGTAAATGTAAATATAGACAGAACAGAATCTATATGGATAAAATATGGTGTATATATATATATATGAGTCAGAGGATTTAGATAAAGGATGCACATTGTTATCGTTGGTGCCAACATAGTTCATCATGCATGTCTTCGTCATTTAAAACTCTTCTGTATTTGCTTTTTACATAGCCTAAGGCTCCTGTAACAAATGTTCAAGTGTACCAAACCTTATGAATCATCTTTACCATCAGAATAGCGTCCTGCCGCATTACTCATGCAATTTTTCCAGGATGTACTGTGCACAATATGTACATTTTCTGGATGCATAACTCTCTGGGAAAAAAAAGTACAATTTATACTTTTAAAAAGTGTATTTATTACAGGAATAAAGATTTAAAATTGCAACTTTAATTAAAAGGTATAATAGTTTAAACTTAGCTTAAGTTTGGAGTGCTTTTTGACACACTTAAAATATATTTACTTGTAATATTGTAATTTAATAATACACTACATATGTTAGTCAACACATCAAAATAAGTGTAATTCTTTTTTAAAGCATAAACAAATATAATAAAAAAATCTCGATTTAAAATGTACTATAAAGTGAAAACTTTAATTTGACCATTACAAAGTGCATGTTTTAAAGGTTCTCTAAGCGATGTCGGGTGATGTCACTTCTTGTTGACGTTTAAAGTGTTGTCAAACAAAACGGAGGCTAGCTAGACCCTCCCTCCTCCTCATCCGCGCACAAACCCCGCCCCCAAGTCCTTCTTGTCGGTGATTGGCTGGAACTGTTTGTCATGTTTCGTGGAGCGGGTTAGCCTTGTTTGTTTTTGTTGCTGTTTGTGGAGCCTGGGCTGTCTACAGAGATCGCGTTTCTTTACAGTGTGTTCAGGGGACAGGCAGCCAGCGGTTAGTGAGGAGATGTTTGCAGTATGTGACAAAAAATGTTTTGGCCTAAAAAACGCGTGACATCGCTTAGAGCACCTTTAAATGTGTATTTAAGTGTGTTAAGAAACATTAAGTGCTCTGTCTACACTTAAGTGGCTTTTTATTTGAAGTAAATAATAGTATAAAAATGTAATATAAATGTGTGTGTATGTGTGCGTGTATATATATTTATGTATATATATTTGAGATTTGAAGTACACTACAAGTGCACATTCTTTACAATTAAGTGCACTTCTTTTCACAAGGTACTAGTACGCTACATTTGCCAAATTGTAAAGTATAGAACCAGGGTACAACGCATCCCACAATGCAATGTACACAACAACTTGACCTTTCAATTTAATATTTTTAGAACAGTAGGCAGTATTTAATATATACTGCACAGTAAGCAGTGTGCTATTCCATGAGGTGACAATGTTCTCTGTCAAGAGTTTCTCCAGTGCCAAGAGAGTAGTTATAGAAGGTTTTATAGAAGGTGAGTGTCAAGTGTTTGCCTGACAGTCTCCCTTTATTCACTCTCCTTTATGATTATAAATATACTGACCTGCTGTGATCCGTTTTTGATAAGCAAATAAACTTGATACCAAGCCGATAGTTATGTCCTAACATGCTTTACTGTACTGACTCATGTACAGCAAGTATTATGGGTTTTGCTTGATCTCCTCTGATGTATTCCATTAAATGGATTGTTCTTGCTGTTGCTCACAGAAAACATATCAATATTAATGATCCATCTAGTATAATATGTTGCAATATGTGATATTATACTGGACCCTGTCTGTAAATGCACTGATACTCTCTCCCTCTTTATGGCTGAGGTAATAGAAAAGGGTCAACCGAGTCTCCAAGGTGTAATCAATTATATAGATTTGGTGATCGATAATATACAACATGTGCATGCATCTCTCTCACACGTGCAGTAAACAGGCAGACACATGTTCGGTGATGTTCAGACTACATGTTCCCATACTATTTACAGTACAGTATTTTATATGCAGTACTGTATGTACACTGCAGTGTTGGGGGGTAATGCATTACATTACAGTAATCAGGTTACCTTTTCAAGTAAAGTAATGCTTATTTACTTTTTCTTTATGCAAGTTATTTGTTTTCCCATTTATTAACTGGCAGCTCTCCTGTCCCCATGTTGAGGGAAATGAGGAGTAAGTGCAGAGGCGTTGTGTGCGCTGCTGTGTAAACACGTTTGTACAAAAACAGATTCAGTATTCCTCAAAATAAATAAAAACAGTGAAATGAAAACCTGCAATAATAAAATCTTAAATAATATATACACTTTATGTATTTAATCTCACTTTATTAACCAGTGTCTTTTCTGCTGACCTTCGATGATCCAATTCAACCATACCAATAAGTAAAATCACATAGTGTTTAATTTTTTTTCTTTGTTTTTATTGCTATAGTAAAAGCGTTGAACTTTATTCTCATGTGTCCTAATCTTCTGTAATCCAGGACAGCTGAAACGTTTGAGCTGCGTCCTCCATATAAAGCAACTAAGTAACGCAATTAATTATTTTTTCGGGGATTAATACACTATTGTAATGCCTTACTTTTCAAAGTAACTTTCCCCAACACTGGTACACTGTCTATTTTGTATGCATGGACACCCTGAAAAGAATATTGTATCTCTTATTGTATATTGTATCTAAAAAATTACTAGAAATAACATCAGTTGTAATTTTCCTTTTTTTTTTAAATAGCATTTTTCTTGAACTATTTTACACATACACACATTTTGGACCATCATTTCTAATGTTTTTGTCTCTTCATTGTTTTCAGACCCCATCTTGCTTTAGAATACAGTGGCAAGGTATGTACATTGTGTTTTAGTATACATGCAAAATGACAGAAGGATTTAAAAGAGGAGAAATCTTAGGAAATGTTGAAGTAATTGTAATTTCTCCATCTTTTTCCATTTAGGCCACTAAAATCCACCAGCGGGCTTTTGGTAATGACCACCCCATCACAGCCCGGAGTCTGGAGCTGCTAGCCACTGTCTATGCTGAGATTGGCAAAACAGAATATACAAGTAACTTAACTATTTACTTTCCACATGAAGTTGTGTCTTCAGTTTCCCTTCAGCCATGCCACTAAAACATTGTCAACATTACGTAAATAATTAGAAAGTTAATTGTCCTTACAAAAATGTGCCTTGATATGTATACACTGGGAAAGAAATGCTCTAAACAATGTTTACTCAGAAATTGATAGTAAATTTTACAAACAATTACAAAGAATCTGCAAGCAACACATTGAATAAAATGTGAAATTAAAGTAGAAAACTGGTATGTAGGGCGGGACTTGATCAAATTCCATGGGGATTTGATTGTATGGTTGTGGTTTGCTATTGGTGGATCTCATGTGAGTGACAGGTTGTCCCGCCCTCGCGCCAGTAACCGCATCATCAGAGAAGAGAAGAGATGAGCTGCAAGAGGTAGGGGCAGTTAGTTTGATTAAAGATGAGGGCACAGGAATAAAATAATAATGATGTGCACAGATAAATCATTTATAATAAATACCGGAATATTCCATATAAAACAAGATTAGTCAATTTTGAGTACATGGTGACTTTCAAATGAAAGCGTTCTGTATTTTAATAATAATAATTCATTACATTTATATAGCGCTTTTCTAGGCACTCAAAGCGCTTCACATGGAAGGGGAACACATTTTAGTTTGATTTGTTTTTATCATTTTTAATGACAGTGGTGGCTATAACCAACTTATCTGGATAGTTTGCTATGTGTTAAATTTGTATAAACCTTCAATTAATCACATCTGCTCTGCAATTTTGGTCCATTACATTCCTGTACATTACTGTACATTATAGTCCCATACAAGCCAGCAATCTTTCATATTCTAAGTAAAGTGTTCTGATTGTCATATCAAAATATCCACAGTAGCTTTCAATGAAATCTCTTTTAAGAACTTGCATAAAGGGCCATGCAAGGATATTGCACTGCATCAAGTCTACTGCACATAAAGTTCTGTACGATTAAAAAACTGCGGAGGTATATTAACCGAATGAGTAAACATGTATTCCAAGCATGCACTTTCTGTCAGTGGCTGATGGCGTTGTAGATCTCTGGCTGAAAAGCTGGGTCATGTCTTTGACAGTTTGAGGCCAGGGTGTTTTTGTAAGCAGAAATGCTTTGCTAGTTTTCTGGAGGGACGGGTCGTTCTGTGTCTACCCTATTGCCTTTTTCCTGGACGATGAAAAATGTATTGTGTAGGGCAGCAATGTGTCACGTACGTCAAACTCAGCTGTGCCAAGTCAGCTTTTTGAGAGAAAATGCTTTCCCCACAACATATCACCAGCGTGGCACTATGTCATAGTTTCAATGCTAAATTATTCTCTTCTAAACTAATTTCATCATACAGACTGTACCGACTAGAAACAAATGTGTGTTGCTTATTTTGCTGATTAAATGCCAAATATGTTGTTTTGCAGTTTGTAAAGTGCTCTTTGTGTTAATTTTTACAGATTCATTGGGAGAGTGTGTGTCAACTCTTTCCAAGAGGTTCTCAGCCAGCGAGTCATTTAGCGACGCTCTGAGTGGCATTTCTCATAGCCATAAGGACAGACACTCTGAGTTACGGCACAGAAAACAGCCATATATACAACAGGAAACTCTTAAAACTAAGGTAATCCAACGGTCATTGACAAGTGTCCATGATAAATTAACTGATCATTCAAAATTATTAATTCAATTCAATCAGATTCTTCTTTATTCCTCTTCTTCTTTATTATGGCATCAGAACTGTTTTAACATTTTTTACTTTATGCCAAATGAAAAACATACTCATCATAGGGGTGTATTCAATTTCATAATGGATTCATCTCATTATTGACCCATATCTAGGGTGGGGTATCACGAACAAATTCCAAATTTCCAAGAACAGTGGACTTGATAAGGCACGCGCATTTCTATTACGCTTATTGATTCCTGTGTGTGCCTTTTAATGTGCTTTTAAACCATTCAAGCGCAAGAAGATGCGAAAGAGAACTCAATTCATCACTGGCACGCTGTTTTCTATGCTCCACACGCATCCAAAGCTCACGCACAAAAAAACTCTGTAAAATGAGATGCTAGTAAAACTTTCGCGGTAATTCCATATCATAGCAAGCAAAGCTGAAAAAAGCTGCACTGCCCAAACGCTCTCAAGCGTTTTCGCCTAGCGCTTTGGTGGACACACGACCATAGTGCATGATACTGAATTGAGCACTCTTTCACGTCTTGTGCTTGAACGGACAAATACACATACAATTTTGACAAAATATTCTCGTAAACATAGTATATTGGATTCGTACATTAGGTCTTAAAGTGACAGCAGGCTAAAATGCCTGCTGCTGTCTGTGTCATTAATCTTAATCAAAAAACAAAAGACTAAGAAAATCACTCACTGATCCTGACTAAATAACTTTTGTAACTTTAAAAGGCTTAATCTATATTTTATAACATATTATTTTGTAGTGTTTTTTTACATTTGATTTCAGTTTCTGAACTTTGTTCAGTTGTATTTATTTGTGCTTTTGCTAGTTGTTTTTTTTCTGTGGTATTTTTGTTAAAACCATAGGCAAAATTTCCTTGTGTAAGTGTTCTGTGGGCTGCTAATTTTTGTTCATGGTATTCAGCTGCAACAGAATGTTTTGCAAAAATAATCAAATTTGCTTATTGGAATCGAAACTGGGAACCGGAAACGCTAAAATTCATACGATACCCATCTATACCCACATCTTAGCTTAATGTGATTTACTCACATAATATAGCACATGTTTTTGGACCAACATCCTTTTTTGTGTCAATTACATTAGACTACTTTGTGCTTTTAAAATGTCATGATGTCATACTGCAAATAATCTTGTCACATGGAAAGTGTGTTAATGTCAAAAGGTCTTAGAAATCAAGAGCTAAAGTTATAGGAATCTACTGTCACATTCAAACGACTTCACATTACGTCTATCAAACGTTCTAGAAGTCGATAGTTTTGTCTTTTCTGATTTCAGGTCATAAATGAAAAACTGCCCACCTCTATCCTGAAAAGGTCCAACGTGAGCAATGTAGAGTCAGACTCTTCGCGCAGGAGAAAAAACGAGAGGCGAGTTCGCTTCAGAGAGCCAGAGATCACTGTTCATGGTAAGAGAGTTCAAATAAACCTGCTCTAGCAGTCCCTAAAAACTGTTCTTTAAAGTGACAAATTGTGAAATAGTCAAATAAAAGTAGGTTAGTAAAAGACTTTTCTTTCTTAGAGCTGAGGTAAATGAATTCCCTCATTCTGAAAAAAAAAAGAAAAGAAGGGATGCACAAACATGCCCAAGTGAATTACTTTCTAATTTGCATGCAAATTAGCCAGTGTGCAATCTGTGCCAACAAGACTGTTATGTTAATGAAACAAAGAATCGAATTTAAAGAATTACGCTTTAGTGCAGCTTGTCTGTCTCTCAAGAGCTCTAGTCTTGTCGAAAGGCCTTGTTGAAAATTGAAGGTCGTGTGTTTCCTTTTGTTCATACGCTAGAGTCAAGTCACCTTTATTTATATAGCGCTTTATACAATACAGATTGTTTCAAAGCATCTTTACTGTGATAACAGGAAAATGATTTAAACAGAGTTCATTTCGGCTCTACAGCAGCTCTACGAAAATAGTGTCATTGTTCAGCTGAAGTCAGTTCAGTGTTGATTCAGTACCGTTGAAAAGATAATCAATTATTACATTAGTTAATCTATTTTCATCTAAAGCAGTTTTGCAGAAAACAGTGATGTCGTCATCCAACTCAGTTCAGTTCTCATCCAATAGTGTCAGTGCAGTCAGATCAATAATATTGTTGAATGTTAAGTATTCCCAACTAAGCAAGCCAGAGGTCAGGTGACAGTGGCAAGGAACCCAAACTCCATCAGGAGACAGAATGGAGAGAAAAACCTTGGAAGAAACCAGGCTCAGTCGAGATGCCAGGTCTCCTCTGGCCAACGAACGAACACAGTGTGATTATGATTCAGGCTGCATCACAAGTCAGAAATGAACAAGTAGAATCACATTACCAAAATTTCACGAGCAAATATCCAATGTATATTGTCAATAGTGTAGCAATGTATGAAGCACAGCTCATAAACAAGCAGCTTTCTGTTGGTCAATGCAGCAAATTTCAAGTTACTATTGAAATGACTGGAATTCGTCCGCAGAACAATGGTAAATGTGACCGCACCTTTAGTTATATGAATGTTTATGAGCTTTACAAAGACCTTGACTAATTGAACTCAAACCTAAAACTCATTATTACTTTTTATGTTGGCTTTCCAGACATTCCGTACTATGACTGTTTAGGAGGTAAGAATACTAGATAAGAAATGTGTTGAACAGTGTCGTAGATCTCAAAAATGCATGACAACATGCATGACATTTACTTGCATGCAATCTGGGACTCAGAACAGCCTGAAAGTTTATTAGTAACTCTTTGCTGTGGTTTAAAAATTGACATGAATTGTACTACAATTTGTTTGCCTTTGCCAAAAATGTGACATTTGTGCATGCTAAACCCAAAGAAAGAGACCTTTTTCTTAATTTTCTGTGGTTAAAAGAGTGCTGCTAGCCAGGGAATAATGCTGCCCACATGCTTTCAGAAAATTCCTTCTTCCCACTTCTGAAATCATAATTACGTGTTACTAATCATGGGGGACACCAGGTTCATTCTTGCCTATTTCTTGGAAAAATATTATTAAAGCCAACATGTAATGAAAATATTTTGTCAATATCCAGCATATTTTGAATAAAATGTAGTGCCCCATTCGCAGACAACCATACAAACATTACCTGCTCTATAAATTCACAGTCAGCTTGCTGAAGATGCTGGAATTTCAGTCAAATTAGTGCTGTTTTCGTAGTGTATGGATTACAATAGTAATCAAATGGCTATTTGTATACGTACATATACACTGATCAGGCACAACATTAAAAACACCTGCCTAATATTGTGTAGTTCCCCCTCGTGATGCCAAAACAGGTATCTGGCAGCAAGTCCTGCAAGTTGTGAGGTTGGGCTTCCATGGATCGGATTTGTTGGTCCAGCACATCCCATAGATGCTCAATCGCATCGCGATCTGGGAAATTTGGAGGCCAAGGAAACACCTTGAACTATTTATCATGTTATTTAAACCATTCCTGAACAATATTTTCAGTGTGGTGTAACCTGTCCTACTTGACCCACTCCGAGCAGGCGTCTCCGGCCTCTTGGGGCCACGGGAGTGAGGTTTACTCTCACAGCTCTTTACTTTCTGGCCTCCGTTACACTCACCCCCCTAAACCTCCCTCCCATCCGGGTCATGGCACCAAATGTAACCCCTTCAGTCCTACTTGCCCCGCTCTGAGCGGGACTCGAACTGGCGTCTCCAGCATGGTAGGCGGTGTGCTAACAAGGACGCTAAAGACCGCAGTCTCTAGCATCAGTCTCTAGTGCGCTTCTAGAGATCAGTGGAGTGAGGTTTGCCTGCACAGCTCTTACTAGCTGGCTTCCGTTACAGTGGTGGGGTGTATTATCCTGCTGAAAGAGGCCAATGCCATCAGGGAACACCATTGTCATGAAGGGGTGGTCTGCAAGTCTTTAGGTAAGTGGTACGTGTCAAAGTAACATCCACTTGAAGGTTTCACAGCAGAAGGTTGTCCAGAACATAACACTGCCTCTGCCGGCCTGCCTTCTTCCCATATTGCATCCTGCTGCCATCCCATCAATGTTATTCACTTCACCTGTCAGTGATTTTAATGTTGTGGCTGATCAGTAGGATATGTTGTGGGAAAACCAAAAAAACCCGAAACAGTCAGTTCAGCAATAGTTCTCTCCTCTGCTACGTTTATAGTTTATGGGCTGCCAACTAGGAAATTAGGGTATCAAAATGATCTTGTATTTCTTAGTTGTATATACGACTTGAGAGGTTGTTCACGTCTAATTTCTTACAAAAAAAACTTGTATTTACGAATCAGAGATGAAGCAGGAAATAAGTAGCATGTAATTTCAGTGTTTTTCCTTTGAGTTTTCCGCGTACAGACCACACTATTGTCAAAACAATCCCCATTCACACGTATTCTGCTGCCAGGCCATTAGATGAAACGCTATAGAATGAACAGGTAATATGCATGTGCATGACGTCATTGTCTTCAGAGATTCACGTTTTTGTTGTTTACACAGAGTTGTTTTCAGGCCCCCAAAACGCCGTTGTCGTGTAAACAAACGGCAAAAACGCATACAAAGTTGTACGTTTTTAATTGAAAACATTGTCGTGTAAACAGCCCCTTAAGAAACGTTAGCAAAATAGCCCCTAAGACAAGCTAACTGCTAAGCTAACTACCTATAGCACCTTTAAAGAATGACTGTTTTAAGCAGTTGCGCAGCCAACAAATGTAGCATTTCACACCAAATCTTTTTGAATTTGTGTGCTCCAGTGTACGACACCCCCCAGAGCCATTTGCACCTGGCCTTGCTCACCTGCCTGTTCCTGCTGCTGTCTGCGCTGGGTCTGGCACTGTACTGCACGGACCGCCGAAGACCCCAGCGTGCCTGCGAGGAGCTGCAGACGGCACTGGCTGTGTACCTGCTTCAATTCAAACAGATTGTTTGGGCCTGCTGGATCTGGCTGACCATGCAATGACCATAACCGACCACAGAGGGCAGCAACAAGCAGAAGAAAAAAAACCACGAAAGGTCAGAATGGTTTTAAAGGACTGTGGAGGAAATAAAAGGGTCCTTGTTTTTTTTTTATTGCTTTATTTTCACTGTTATATATTCAGACTGGTCACCAGTTAAAGTTTTTGAGGATGTTCAACATCCACCTCTTTTATTTTGTAGTTGATTGAAGGCCACGCCATTAAGCGATGGTGTGCTTTTTTGCCCTTTATGGTGGCATATCCATTGCCACAACCTCATTATACTGAGTCATATATAATCAGAAATCTGTATATGTAGCTATTTGTCCTTGTATAACTTTTCTGGGCGATTATGTTTTAAAGCATCTGTTAGTCCTTTTCCAAATAATACTTGTGCAGCAATAGTAATTAAACCCTTTATCAATCAGAATTATACAGGACTGTCAAAACAGAACACGAATGAATGAATTCCGTCTATAACAGTTAGAACCCGACTGATATATTGGTACTGTAGGTCAATATTATCATGCGACCTGTTTTGGACTTTAATAAGCAATACTGAAAAGAACGACATGTAACGGTGAGTAGGCCTACATGCATAATGCCATGTTTACTGTCACAAATAGTTATATTTTAACCCTTAAATGCATGAATGTTTAATCGATCTTTATTACCGGGTCTTTAGTAACCCGAAACTATATCTTACACGGATAGATCTCCAACTGCTGCAATCGCATAAAACTCTCCTGATATTTTAATAACAATTACAAAATAATTGTTTTCTCATTTCCCGAGTACATTCAGCTGTGTCTTTTTCACGAACATATTCTCATAACTATCATTTTCAAAATCAATATTTTGATTGCTGACAGCTTCTTCCGCCATCAAGTGAGACTTGTATTTAATTGCATTCGGTACTTGCTCTACAGTAAATCGCTGAGCCATATCTAGTTTTGCTGATGACACTTGTTTTATTATCCGTGGTAATTACGAGTGAAACATCACACCATCATTGCGTATCAGACATTGTCCCCTTGAGGAATAAAGATGAATTGCACTTATTGAGTCATAAGAGATTTAAAATTCTTACACTATTACATACCTCGGGTCATTAGCGACCCTATAAACTTTTTACAAAAAATTAATTAGAAAACAGACATTTTTTATAATGTTTTTTCTTGTTATATTGTTTATAATTAATAGATTGAGGAACACTAAGAAGGTTGATGTCTAACTTTAAAAAATGAATGAGGGGTAGGGTAGTGAATGCTGTCCCGGGTCGATAAAGACCCGAGGTGCATTTAAGGGTTAATGCCGATGACACTTTTAGACACACACATATCGCATGTGCTTACAGAATGTTTTAATGCATGGCTGGATCAATTCCTGCTAGTGTTGTACGTTGCATTCTTTGCTTAAAATATTTACCTCACTATTTTGTCATATGATACAAATATCAATATAAGGGCTTTCTGACTCAAAGGGTGAATTTAGGAACCCGTTGCACTTAATTTCTTGTATTAAACGAATAAAGACAGGATTATATTGTAGAACTATTTATGCTCCAACCTATTCAAGAATGGATTTATTTTCATGGCAGCTTCAAAAACATCTTAATGTTTTGGTGTCGTTTTATTTCAATTAAATATTAGATCAATGTTTATCTAGTCATTATTTGTGCAAATGCAATTAAAACATATTAAAATATAAAAAAATATTAAGAATACAGTTAATACATATTGACTTAAATATACCATTTTTGTATATAATTTTGTTATTGGTTAAGTTTGTACAATATCATGTTGTACAACTCCCCGAAACCTTAATGATATTTACTGAACGAATACTTCATTGGAACTAAAAAAAGAACACTATATTTAAATGCTTTTTTTAAAGTAACGATTAAAATGGTGTACACTCGTCTGAGGGAAATGTGTTGTTAATTTTAATGATCATTTTAATGTCGGTCAATATAAACTTTTCTTGTAAATGTTATAAAAGTTGAAACCAACATGAACACAAAGAGTACATTTCTAGATATTTTTTTCAAACATGTTTCTTTATCATGAACACACTTATGCCATTGGATCAGACCCAAAATCAGTCGGGCTCTACAGAATGTGCACACTGTGTTCTCTATGAATCAATGTATCACAGCTTTTTAATGTCAGAAATTATTTCATTTATTTAATTCTTTTATTTTTAATTGCTGTACATAATGTGGTTGAATGTGTCTGTGGAATGCAAGACAATGCTATTTATTTTACTAATATTAAAATATGTTTAGAGTACAAATATGCGTTTTATGCATTATCAACATGTATAAACAGAATGACACTAATCATTGTTAAAGAATATATTATATATAATGTACATGTGAAAAGAGAAGAGCTGGCACAATGACGACACCTTTAGCATTTATCTACTTGACAAAGTTGTTAAGCACAAACGTTTCCATCTGCCACAAATTCTCCCCGAAAAGAGATACAAGACTGTCCAAGGATGAGTTGGCCATATTTTGTCTCATGCACTGCCAGATTTAACTGGCAAATGAAAGAATGCCATTTTAGAGAGGTGAATGCTTTGTGACACCTGCAACATTTGAGTTTATATTTTACATGAACCTGTACCAGCATCTTGGCCTAAGCCTATGGTGCATTTATTTGTTTTACTCTGTTTTGTATAAGAATTTTCTTTTTCTGTCTTTTTTTTTTACTATTAAGTTTTACACTTTTAGTATTTTAATATTCCATTATAGCAGCGGCTTTTCAGTCTCTATTTTCTAGTTTTTGGGTGAGCATTTGGAAAAAAAATCTAATTACATTAGTCTTTGGATTCTGGTGTCAAAAATAAGTTTTAATACTTAATATGTTCTCCATTAGCAACCAATTTGGCATGTATTGCTATAGTAAATAAGGAGATATTAGGCAGAATGACAGCCTTAGTCACACACACACACACACACACACACACACACAACCATTCAAAAGTTTGGGGTCAGTAAGATTTTTTTAATACTTTTTTCACAATGGATGCATCAAATTGATCAAAAGTGACACTAAAGATGATTCCACAGAAATATTAAGCAGCACAACTGTTTGATAATAATAAGAAATGTTACTTAAGCATCAAATCATCATATTAGAATGATTTCTGAAGGATCACGTGACACTGAAGACTGGAGTAATGATTCTGAAAATTCAGCTTTGCATCACAGGAATAAATTACATTCTAAAATATATTAAAATAGAAAACCCTAATATTAAATTGTAATATTATTTGTAATAATTATTCACAATTTTACTGTATTTCTGATCAAATAAATGCATCTTTGGTGCATATGAGAGCTTTCTTTCAAAAACATTAAAAAAAAATTACCTAACCCAAATATTAGATTTTGCATCATATTGATTGAAAATACAATTGGATTAAATTTATCAGTGCAAGTGACGAAGAGTAACAAATTAAAAGGTGTACAAATCATCTGTGAATGCATCAAATCACTGTGAGTTACTTGGATAGAAGCGCCTGATATTGTCAGACACAAAACAAATGTTTATGGATGTCATTTACATTATGTATTTGCTATTTATATGTCCATTGTGCACTGGTTATTAAATGTATGCAACAGACAGTTAATTAGCACACTTACTTAATGTACCCGTTTGAGGGGTATTCAGACGACAAAAGGGAAATCAACTAAATATGTTGTACTGTTGGGCCAGCCAATCACTGAAGCAATAAAATTGCCCCAGGTCCAGTACATGCTCCTTTCCTGTATGTGTACAGTGTACTTCAATAGAGGTGCTTTTTGGCAGTATATTCACTGCATTTCTTTTTCCTTTCTTTTGTTTCAAAAATTTAAATATTAAAAACCAAACAGAGCTTTAAATGGTCATTAGTTTAAAGACTGAATTTTATTTTCATGATCAGAAAAATCACCAATTGCTTTGTATTTTCATCATCATTGCTGTTTATACTGCTATCATTGCTTTTATTAAATAAAAGCCCTAAAACAAATATAGGCCTATAATGTCGAAGAGATGTGTTCACACTATGACACAATAAATAAAAATGATGCACAAAACAATGTCTGCATAATTTTTTGTGGGCCTGAGTGTGTTACAGAATTACAGCGAATCACGACTCATGCTCACACACCATTAACTAGCAAAACTAAAACATAATCCTTTTATAAGATGCTTAAACCGAAAATAAAAGGCATACATCAAAATTTATTCCAGCATGCGCAATAATACTTCAAAACATAGTGAACTATATGGAGTGTGTGATAGCATAAACTTTGTAGATTCTAGGAAAGTAAGTAAACTGAATGAAGCAAATCATTAAATAGTCCCTCCAAATCTCACATATTTCATCAGAGTGATGTCATGTCACGAAGACAGATTAGTCACTTCACTATCTTTATAGAGCCTTCCTCTTCACCTGTGTATTTTAATAGCATATATGCACATGCAAGCATGTTTTAAATCCCTTTACATAGGAAAGATACTATCACAGTCATATACATGATTATATATGTCTTACACATGGAGGCAGTACTGGAAGGGAATGATCTTTAAGTAAAGAAAACCAGAAATGGATCACACACACTTTAAATAGTATTGCCTGAGCTACAATGCATGTACTAAATCCAACTCCTCAGCTAACGCTGACGGAATAGAGACTTGACTGGAAGCTGTCGCTCATATCTAGAACTGATTTAAGGAAAGCATTTGGTTGAGAAAAAACCATAATTGTCAATAAGACTTTGATTGTATGTCACACAGGATTTATAAGAACATGTATTTAAGCACACTTCCTTAAAGGGATAGTTCATCCAAGAAAAAGAAAAGAAAATTGTCCTAATTTACTTACCCTCATGTCATTCTAAACCCATTTAATTTTGAAACACAAATGAAGAGATTTCTGTCCCTCCAATGAAACGTTCATAAAGACACCATACAAGTAATCCATATGATTGCTTTATATCATTAATAGATTTAATATAGGCGTTTATTTACATAGAAATTGACCAATGCACGTACATAACACACGTGACGTGTGAGAACCAATGAGGTTTGCTTCTATTGATCATTTTTGATGTGCTATGTGCATTGATCAGTGTTTATAAAGTGATTATGTCTCTTTAAGAGGCTTGGATTAATCTCTTAATTCATATGGATTACTTTTACACTGTTGTCATTAACTTTCTGAAGCTTTCACAGGAGAGGAGGTTTCATTCAACATCTTTTGGAAAGGCTTATGGATTTGGAACAACATGATGGCAAGTAAATGACAGATTTTTCATTTTCGAGTGAACTATCCTTTTACATTATTCATGCTCACTGTTCGTTTTGTTCAGGGTCTTGTGTTTTAAGCTCAACATCAAAAAATGTTGTGGGTAAATGATCTGTGACCTCAGTCCAAACAATCGAGTGCACATGAATGTCTATTCTTTTCAGTCATCGTCCAATGTCAAATAAAATGTTATTCAGAAGCATTTGGCTCAATTAAGCTCAACTGAGGTCAATCAAAAGTTGAGATACACCAACTAATGAGCCATATTTAGAAGCTTATGAATACATTTTACTTGACAGTACATTAATGGAAATGTTCTATAATAGTTGCGTTGCAAAATGTTGAGTTTATCATATCATGCCACTTTTCTCATCTACCACATCTGAGCACCGGCGTGATGAGCGTCCGAGTAGGAACTCTTTCTCGTGGATCAAGCTGTCGACCAGATCCTCTTGACGGTAGTTATGGTAGACCTTCAGAAAGGCCATGACTGTGATACCCAGCCAAGTCAGCCAGGCCGCCCACAACCCAAACTAGAGGAAAGCAGAGGAGGCCTGACAGTTATATTCATGTTAAAAATTGGTAATAAGCAGTGTGAAAAGCAAAACATGCCTTATCTGGAAGTCTACAACAGTTTGAAGGTTAATAGAGAAACTTTTGGTTCCATTATCCTAAAGTCAATGGTTTTTTTGAATGGGATTTTGTTTAAATACCTGAAATAAGGTCTGTGGTCAAAAACACCCTCAAGATATTTTAATATTTTATTTTAAGACAAAAATTGTTGTTTAAAAAAAAAGCATTTACTTGTCTTTAACTTTTTCCCAGCCATTGACGGAATTTTTCGCTTTACGTGTTTTCACTGTTATACGGTAAGAATCATAGACTTTTGTTAGCCACAGAGTTTATTTTCTGCAATAATCCAAAAGCCAATGGAAAAATCCGACTGGATGTTTGTCAAGGGGATCCAGAATGATGCAAAAAAAAACACCAGCCAACAATACCTCATCACTGCATCACTCTATTGGAGTGGTTTGGTCTGTTTAAGGATATATAGGCCTTATAGTTAAAATATTTGAACAGTTTGGTTTTTGAAAGAATGTATAGGAGGTTGCAAAAGTGTCTTAATTTGTTACTAGGTTGTTGTGAAAATGTTCTAGTGTTTGCAGATATCTGACTACGGGTACGTTTAAATGACAACGATAACTAAAAACGGAAAAAAAATTCCTTTGCATTATTCGCGTACAGACGACATTGTCAAACCGATGGATCCACGAAAACGATTTAAGACGCTGTATTATTCATTCCAGGCCAGTAGATGGCGATGTCACTTTGTAAAGAAACACCTGCGCATGACGTCACCATTCCACAAATTCACGTTTTTGTAGTTTACATAGAGACGATAATGGTATCGTTTTCAAAAACTTGCACTTTGAATCCTGTTTACAAAAGTTTGCGTTTTCAGACCACCAAAACACCATTGTCGTGTAAATGAGCGGCCAAAACGCAAGAGTTTTACGTTTTAGTGTACTACATACATTTTTTAAGTTTGTTTCACAAACAATTAACATTCTGAAATATTTACATATTTCATTCTAAATTTGTATGACTTTATTTCTGTGGATCACAAAAAAAGGATATTTTGAGAAATCAGTGTATCTCAAGTTCTATCTACAAAATCTTCAAAATATCTTCTTTTGTGCTCCGCAGAAGAACAAAAGTCACACAAGTGATTAAGTGTAATTGTAATAGAGTGAGTCAATTTTTTAGATGAACTATCCCCCTAAGACAACATAATGAACCCTGTTGATATAAAGCACTAGATGTAAAGTACTAAAATGTAGTCATTTTACACAGTTTGTATTCTTAACTGACCAACCTGTGCTATGGCAAACTGGTCATAAAAAGCAGAGTTGTCCAACCCTAGTTCAAGATCAGTGTCCTGGAGATCCTCACAGCTAGAAATGAACAGTAGTCATTGTTAGAAATGATTCACAGATTCTTGAAGAATCAACATTTATTGAGAGGATTCTGTTCATAAAAACTTGAAGAACAAAGCTGCTTGTTATACAAACTCAGGGTTTATATTCAAATACTGTAGCAGTTTATGGACACTGAAACGTGACTGAACTTTAACAGTCACTGAAGTGAACTGAGCCAAAAAGCCCCTGGCTAATTTCAATGTCACTAAACCCTCCTCTGACAGAGAAAAAAAGGCCCACACAATTAATTGGGGCTCTTTCCACGCTACACAGGCAGTCTGAAAACATAAATCTCACATTGTTTTTTTTTAATCTACATACATACAGGCTTAACTGAAAAGCATGCTTACCTGCTGGGCATACTGCCTCCTTCTGTGACGGCATCACACCATAGGTTGAAACCCACACTTACTATTGTGCTGGACAGGAATACAGCAAACACTACGAATGTGCTGATGAGCAGGTTTAGGAAGGCATTGAAGATTGAGCTATATAAATAGAAGAGAGATAGTTTACAAAAGTCATTGTTTACACAGTCCTGCCATTCTAAACATATTTTTTTCTTCTTCTGTGGAACACAAAAGAGGATATGTTGAGTTGCTCTTTTCCATAAAATAAAAGGAATCATTCCATAAAATGATTTACACCGTTTATCTCTAAAATGCACAAAAAAGCTTCAAGCACCCCATATGACTTAGATTCCAAGTGTCCTGAAGATATAAAAAATATATATATATATATTGAAAAGACTGAAATCTCAATTAAGATTGCTTGTTTAATTAGCCATCCCAGACAGCAAGTGTCGGCCCACATCTGGTACACATGGATTCCACACGACCCAGATGTGGGTCGACACTATGTTGCTGTCTGGGATGAGATGTGCAAGAACAAATGATGTTTGACACCAGCATTGGCACAAAGCATCTTGATGTATATTTTGGCCTTTTCCTCACATAAAAGACCTGGAGTACATGGACAACTTCTGTGGTACTTTTACCATAAATCCCCATATACTTGTACTTTTCCATTATTCTTATTTTGAATGAAAAAAAAAAACTAAAATAATAACAGCTGCTCAAATTGTTTTTCATTGCAAGAATTTTCATGTATTAATCACTTTTTTGTTGAGGAGCTTGTAATGAAAGGTTGTTTATGAAAGCCTCTGTAGATAGATTTTTATGTGAAGGGCTTGGGACGTTTTTGCTGGGAAAATCAAAAAGATGTGGCGTTTACACACATTTTTGTAAGAAAAATATCCAAATATATATCTTTATAAACTATAAAGTTATACGGCCGTACGTGAGTCTAGTTCCGGCGGAAGAGTGACCTCTGACCTGACGCATGACGTATTGACGCAGAGGATAGAGCAAAACAAAACACCGGTCATGAATTAGATGTCTTAAATTATCATTTTTAAAGAGAAATGTCAGAGGTGGTTGAGTTTGTCGCGTTGACTTGGTTGAACTATTTGTTTGAACCGCAAGAGGAGTCTACTCTCACCTAAGCTGCTTACACTACTCCTACATCCTACGCCATACACCGGAACTCAACTCTCTCGTGAACGCGAGGACGGCCGTTACTGGAATCTGGTCATTAAAGTTGACAAAGTTATAATTATGGATATTTTTCTTACAAAAACGCATCGCTTCGCTTCAGAAGACCTTTATTAACACCCCGGAGCTATTTGGATTACTTTTATGATGGATGGCTGCGCTCTTTTGGGCTTCAAAAAATGGTACCATTCACTCCCATTATAAAGCTTGGAAGAGCCAGGGTAACGTTATTTTTTAATATAACTTTGATTGTGTCTGGCTGAAAGAAGAAAGTCATATACACCTAGGATGGCTTCAGGGGGAGTAAATTATAGGATCATTTTCATTTTTGGGTGAACTAACCCTTTAAGTATGTGATTTAGTTATAGCCTACTATTAAAAGAGTATATTTAGCATGTCTATTAAAAGTAAACCACAAGGCCCTTGATGCCAGGCTAGAGACTAAAATCAGATAGCAATAATTAATCAATATAATCTCAATCAGTATGCAAATTCATTCAATGATCTTTTTAACTTTTCTGTGACTAAATCATTCAAATGTATTACCAGCTCAATTACATTTTATTAGGCCATGAAACCTACACAATAAAACTCCATAATCACAGATAGTATCAGTTTGTTATGATATTGAACAATTGTCCCAAATAATAAAATATTTAACTAAAGTATATGCTGCTGTGTGACATCACATAACTGCATCACGCTTATTCCCAATCACCGCACAGGCACGGGTTTAATAGCTTACATGTGAGACATCAAATTCACAAGTTAAACGATGAAATGAAGAATCACTCACTCATCGTGGCCTTTGCAGATGAAAAGCAGAAGCCTCCAGGCTTGCACGGCGGCCAGGATGAGGGATGCGATGGCGACAGCGGTGATGAAGCTGCAGGAGGACTGAGGTCCCCATTCCTCAATGATGAAGCGCTGCTTAGACACCGTGATGTTCTCATTCTGCCACATACCCCGCGTAAAAAGCAGACATTTTCCACGAAAATCCTCCGTGTTTTCCGACAGAGGTACTATCGCTATAAAGCCAAAGACGAAGGCTAAAAAATAAAGGATGCATTGCGCAAATATTAAATTATCCATTGGTATTTTGTCCGAGCTGTGTTGTCGGTGCGGCTCGAGCTCTCTCTGGCGCTACTGCGGCTGCGCAGTCGGACTCTGCAGCACAGGCGAGCAGAGATACAGCTGAGGGCATTTTTGGAGAAAAAAGAATCCGAACCCCACAACACTTATAGTAGCTAGTAGTAGTTTTTATGGAAGGCTAATCAATACAAAATGCTAAAAAAAAAAATCGGGTAACACGTACGTTTAATACACTTAGCCTACTGTACATTATTAAATTAACAAATCATTAAGCTAAGTCAGACGGTTTAGTGTAGGGCTTTTAAAAGTAGGCCTACAATAATAGGCAGCTTTACAGTAGTTTAATAACAAACTTCTACTGATTTTTAAATAACACTGAAAGGTTACGTCAAATGTAAGCCTTTTTGTGACTATTTATTGTGACTATTATCAAGACACAGACACTAAAATAAAATAAACATTAATTCCAATATTCATTAAATATATTAAATTACATTACATTATATTATTTGCACATAAAAATACAAAACCAGTGTACACAGCATGACAGTGCTATACAATCAAGCTATATGAATTCATTCAGTTTGCCAATGTACAGTTCTGAATCAGAACAGACCTGTGTTCCTTTTGACATGACAAATGTGAACTCCATTAACACAGTCTTCTGGCTTCCGACTTCAAGAATACTATACAATACTAATTCAATGAGAGGTCTGAAAATGAAAATAGTTCATTTTAGAAATATGGTGGATGCATTCATCTTTGTGTTCCACACAAAGTAAAAAGAATAAATGCATAGCTGTCAAAAATGAAAGGATGCACCAGGACGTGATTTTATCATATATATAGGCCTATATATATATTTATATATTTATATTTATTTTATTTTTTTCTGACCCCAAGACTCAACTCATTTACACAATTCTCCAGCTGTGATCCTTGGCCAGAGTCTATTTCTGAGTCTGCTGCTATAGAAATACTTCTTTGAATTTACAAACATATTTATTTATTACCTCAAATGGTGCTGCGTAGGAAAGACCCATGTACAGTCATGGTCAGAAGTATTGGCACCCTTGGTAAATATGATCAAAGATGCCTGTGAAAATAAATCTGCATTGTTTATCTTTTTGATCTTTCATTCATAAAACTTGCAGAAATATTACCTTTCATTGAAGTAAAAGAATTGAAAGTGGGGGGGAAACCCTCGTGGTTATGAAGCTTAAACATTTTTCAAATGACAAAAAAATGGTCTTAAACATTTCAATTAGAAAAAGGAAAACAAGTTTGATTTATTTCTAAATACATTTTCTTTTCTATTTCATTTTTTGTTAGAAGTTGTGAAATGAATGTTAATTGTTATATTGTGATAAAAGAAAAAATATGATGAAACTAGCCTATGTACTATATAGTTAATATTTTATCCGAGACATGAAAATGTACTGCATAACAGTACATACATAAAGCTTTCTTTAGGCGCAGACGGAAGTCCAATGAGGTGCTTGCTCAGCATTTGAGAGTCACTCGGCCCCACATACTGTACTGTACACGCTTCAGCTGTTTTATACAAAGTGGATTTGTGAGGCGCAGAGCAGCCAAGAAACCATTCTTGCAGAACGGCAACAAGCAGAGGAAATTACAGTATGTGGGTCCATTTACCTTTGAGTAACAACCAGTGCCAGAAAGTCCATTGAAGCAATGAGTGCAAATAAGTGTAACGGTTGGTTACAAAGAGGCCTTCTGTAAAGTGCAGTGAAAGCACTGTCACGGCCTGTACAGTAAGAGCATCATAACATAAACAATATTGTGTTATCACTTGGACAGGACAATAAGAAAACATATTATCTAGTGTTTTTACACTGTTAAAAAAATGTTTCTAAGTATAATCAACTTGGTTGTAATAGCAATTTCAACTACAATTTTAATTGAATCTTGTATAACTTACTGTATATTTAAAAAAATTTTGTCAAAAATGACTAATTAATAATTCAAATAATATAAACGTGAGTTCCTTTGGTGTCCAAATACCTTTGCATAATCTTGTGTTATTGTGTAATACTGTTTGATCTGCATTTCAGTCCTGAGCCAAAGTCTCCAGCAGTTAGGTCTCAGAGGCGTGTTATCACTGCACTGCAGATACATTTTTTTATATGTATGATCCTGTTTTAGTCATGGATTGTCTCGATGTGGATGATTTTATTAACTGTTTTAATACTCACTGTGTAACAATTTTGGATCAGGTGGCTCCTGTTAAAGCTGCAGTCGGCAAGTCTGGCAGATTGAGTGGACTTTTGAATGTTTACAACTATCATGCCCCTCCCCCACTATCAACGTATACCCTCCCACCGAGTTCGCGCTCGTCAGTGTGTGTGCACCAGGTTATCTGTGAACGCGCCCGTCTCATCAGCATCCATCAACACCATGGAGTATTTGGAGGTATGCTGCCCTGGCTAATCTACCCATAGATTGCAATTGCTAACGTCATTTATACTCTAAATGAGCTTACTTGATTTGTTAGTGTTTTGAAAGCGAGATACATCCGCCATCACTCTTCGTTACTGCGCGAACTTCAGGCGTGTGCATGTGATTGTAACGTGCGCGAGGGGTGGCGTGTGCCCGATCTGTGATTGACAGTCAGATCTCACACCCCCCTGCGCTGATTGGACCCGATGATCCGGGAGCTGTGGATTTTTGCAAAACAAATAACACGCTCCAGGTGGAGTTAGAAGCTCGGATATTTTCTAAAACCACTTTATTTATGTTGTGCTGTCGGATTATAGTGTCGATTTCACTGAATATGATCAAAAAAATGTTGCCGACGGCAGCTTTAAATCTAACTTGTCTACTCAGAAAAAAATATGCCCTTGGATAAATTAAGATATTCTAAGTCTTAAGAGACTGTGTCGAAAGACTGAGCATCTGTTGAAATCCACTAGTCTTGAGGTGCACAGGCTCTATCTCAGGGATCTTGTGTCGTCATACAATTTGATGGTTGAAAATGCCAGATCTGACTATATCCGTCAACTGGTAACATTGAATAAAAAAAATCCTAAAATGTTGTTTGACACGATCAATGCTCTTGTTTGTCCTGCTGCTCCAGATACCCCTGTTTTTTGTGAATCTGACAGCAACGCCTTCTTGGGATTTTTCACCAATAAAATTAAGATGATTAGGGATAAAATTCTGCCCCTTCCGTGTGGTACCCCTGCTGTTTTTGAGCCTGTCTCCAGCATGTGGTCCTCATTTAGGACTGTGACGTTTGCTGATATTTCGGAACTAGTGACCAAGATGAAGCCATCTTCTTGTTCATCTGATGTCCTTCTTTATAGGCTCTTCCAAAAAGTGTTTGAGGTAATTGGCCCTTGTGTTACCAAAATGGTTAACCTCTCTTTGTCTACTGGTGTGTTTCCCAATGCTTACAAGCATGCCATAGTGGAGCCCTTACTTAAAAAAGCAGGTTTAGACCCTACGGACTTCAATAGTTTTAGGCCTATTTCTAAGCTCCCGTTCCTGTCCAAGATCCTTGAGAAGGTGGTCTTTGAACAGTTGACATCTTTTCTGGACAAAAGTAACATCCATGAGTCATTTTAGTCCGGTTTCCGTAAACATCACTCGACTGAAACGGCCTTACTGAAAGTGTCAAATGACATTATGATGTCTGCTGATTCTGGAAAACATACTGTTTTGGATCTGTCCTCAGCCTTTGACACCGTTGACCATCAGGTCTTGCTGAGAAGACTGAGGGACCAAGTTCAAGTTGGTCTGTGGTCTAGTAGGGGGAAGATTTCTAAACTTGTATGGTCAGTATGTATGGTCAGGAAGTATGGTCTCACGAAATGATTTGGAGCTCATCATTCATGCTTTTGGGTCTTCGTGTTTAGACTATTGTAATAGTTTATTCTCATGTCTAAACAAGAAGCAGCTCTCTCGACTGCAATTAGTGCAAAACTTTGCAGCCAGAATTCTGACCCGTACAACTATTCTAAAAGAACTGCATTGGTTGCCAGTGTCTTATAGGATCAAGTTTAAAATTCTGGTTCTAGTTTTCAGAGCCTTGCATGGTCAGGCTCCTCTTTACATCAGTGATCTGATCCAGCCCTATATCCCTGTGCATAAGGTCTGAGGTCTGTGAATAAAATAAAATAAAAAAAAGAATCGATACTTTTTCAAAAAGAATAACGTAAGAAAATAATAATGTAACAAATGTATAAAATAATAATGTAACAAATGTGTAATAAACGTATAATTACATTGTAATAAACGTATAATTACATTGTAATGTATAATAACACTAAACAATGTATAATTACTAGGGCTGTCAGTTAAACACATTATTAACGGCGTTAACGCAAACCCATTTTAACGGCGTTAATTTTTTTATCGCGCGATTAACGGTCTTTTTGGCCTAGCAAACTTTGTAGTTTTTTTCACATGCTTTTGCAACAGGATGCGGCATGTGCGGCGCTGCACTATGAAACCCATTCATTTCAATGGCTTGCGCCGCGCGAGGACGTTTTGTTGCTTCGTCGACCAAAGCGCAAGCGGATCTAGCTAGACCGGAAACAAAACAACAGGCACGCCGCACACACTTGTTTGGGCTCGCGAGCCGGCCAAATAGTAGGTAAACGTTATGTTGTGGCAAAAATTCATCTCAAACAAACATCACTGCGTAAGAGACACTCAGAGTCAAATTATATAAAATAGAAGTATTTATTCCTGCAAGAATAGGAGCAGTCTAATACACAGTTGTTACCCTGTGCAGAAGAGTGACACCCCCCAGACAGACTGAACTAGCTTTTATCTTAGTTTCAAGGCCTTCTTCCCCCCAGAGCCTTCCTCCCAGTAGTTTTCCATAGACGTCACTAGTTGGCCCACTAAGCTCCCCTGCATCAAATGGTTTGTTCGTCTGTTCTCTGGAGTGTCTCCCTCTTCTGCCTCCCCAGGTACATAAACAGAATCTTCTCTCACTTCAAGTGAGAGACACACATGTGACATTCTTTGAATCATCTATATTTAACTAAAGATCAATGAATATCATTAAAATTGCTACCACAACTCCTCACTTTTTATCATTCTGA